AAGCCAGCTTCTACCGGTAGATGGCAAATGCTATTATCTATAAATCTGCAAGTGACAAAGTCAAAATAATTGTATAAAAGTACGGTTTTGTATCTTTTTATAATTAGATTTATTGCGGTTAATTTTTTGTGCAAAAAGAATGTATTAATTCTGATTGGTCTTTTGGCGTTAATAATTTATCGAAAAATAGATGAATATCAATTATAATTAAAGTCAGACTTTACCGCTTGATGACATGTACCTTTATCTGTAAATCTGCAAAGAAAAGTGAAAATAATATAGTGAAAATAGTATAAGAGTACGGTTTTGTAATAATTATTATATGTATAAGCAATTAATTGCTTGTTCATATAATGTGTTCGATGGTAAAAAATGTCTTCCACTTTTACATCAATTTTAATGTAACTGTTTTTAACAGTGTACAAAATATAGTAGCGGTGTCCGCCTTGAATCAAGCACAGATGACCTTTCTCCCCGTAACCGCGTGTGCGCGAAAAAAACGTATTCCCTTAACGACGCGATTAGAAAAAGGATGAAGAATCGGTCTACTTTTGAAGCGATAAGCGGCGGGAGAAGAGAAAAAAAATTGACTGATAGCATTTTTTCCCCTACGATTAGCCGCGCAGCGAAGAACGACTAATTTGTTACTACAAGTCGTAAAATTTTACGAGACTCTCTAGCTTTTTTTGCGCCTCGCGTATTTATACATCCTAAGAATCGTCATGGGAAAAAAGACGAGCACTCGCAGAAAATATATACCTATGATATATACTAGGCGAGCGATGTAAATTGTTGCTTGCATAAAAAAAATTCAAAGCGAAATAAAATTTGAAAAAATGCGTGCAGGAACGTTTGCGAGAGCTATAGAATGCAAAGATACTTTTATCCCGAGAAAATTAATTTGAAAAAAAAAAATGATCTGCTATACTATTGATGATCGAAAAATCATAATTGATCACAAGTGTAATTTAGTTCGATAAAATTGATCATGAGTCGCTTGAATTTTCTTACGCAAGAAAATAGGTCATTTATTTTTAAGAGCAACGAGGATAAACATTATCGAGTTAGCGAAAAACGCTAGGCAAAAAATTTACTATTGCAAAAAGTGGCACTTTAGCAACAAAGAAATATTGAAATGAATTTTTTCCTCCTCGAGGTAAAAACGTTGGATCAAGCGTGTCGAGTAGTAACGCTCTCGAGTCTGCTCTTTTTTTGCAATTGTTGTTGCTGTTGCCACGATTGCACGAAACAAAAAAAAACTCTTATAACGTCCATCGACCGGGTGCGCTTACGTAGGAACTCGGATTTTTTTCCTCTCTCGCTCCTCTCTCGTTGATTTCTCTTTTGATACCAGAAAGAACCATAACTCACGCGATGGAAAAAAAGCTCGGCTAAATTTTTTCCCTCCAGATACAACTTTAACGGATATTCGCGCGCGCGCGAGAGAGAGAGAGATTGACTTGGTCGAGGAAAAAAAATCCTCGCAGTCCGTCGAATATAGTTTCCTGGGAAAATGTTTCGAGCGCGACATCGGACCCGTAACGAATCTGCTCGCAATGATATCTGTATCTCTTGCAGCTCGGAATTTTTTTTGCGTCGTTGTCTCGCTAGAGATGAACGATCAGTATAGTGGCAAGAGACAATACAGCAGAGAGGGATGACATTCGGAATGGCGAAGAAATGATAATAAAAAAAAGAAAGACGCATACTCACATCTAAGTTGAGGCAAAGCTGTACTCTCATGCGTTCCACCAAGACGATGGTACGTACATAACAGCCGCGATGGTACGTTAAATTTGAATAACGAACATCGGATAGGATCGCGCAAAAAAAGGCCTGTGCCCACGAAAGAGAGAGAGAGAGAGCGAGTGCGAGCGCGCGTGTGGCACACACAATAAGAAAATGATTCAATTGTTTCGTTTCTGCTGTGTATATAGAGGCTAAACGGCCAGTGCCTTACCGGTGTGCAATCAAAGGGTTACACGTCGCTCGTATTCATGCACACGATGGCGTAACAGATCGTCGGTACGGGACGAGCAAGGGGTTGGTCGTTTTTCTGGCGCAGCCATTTTTTGGGACTCACAGCTTCGAGGATTCACAGAGTGGCGCAAGGGTGGGAAGCGAGGGTAAGAAAATAGAGCGTGGGGTCCCTTTTTCAGGGGAGAGATGCAGCGTCGATCAGGGGGCTGGCGAAATATCGGGCCCACCCAACCACGTACTCATATAGCTACTCTGTGTGCCACGCAGACGAGAAAGAGAGAGAGAAGTGCAGACATGCGAAGCTCCGGTGCACCACCGGGACAAAGAATGCCAAGCACTCGGCACTCGGTAACGGCGGCGGCGTCGGTCAAAATAACGAAAAAAAAAAACCAACCAAAGTAAAAATAAAAAACGCGTCCGCGACACGCGCGCGCGCGCGTACGGGGGGAGGCAAAAAGTACATACGAACGGCGACTACGACGAGAGCTTGGCGCTCGACCGATGAGAGAGAGAGAGAGAGGAGAGAGAGACCGACCACTTGGTTGCGTCCATCTGCGCGCCGGGCAAAACACTCGTAAAAACTCGACTCGGTCTCTCCCGGCTAACCCTTCCCCTGATTACAATATCGGCAAAAACTGAGAAATACTCTAACCGCCCCTACGCCGTTGTCGTCGTCGTCGTCGTCGTCGTCTCTCGCGTCCTAAAAAACCTAGACTCCTTTTTGTGTCGGTACTGCTGCTGTTATCCTAAGTATACCCACACGTATGCATACCCGTCAAGTATCAAGCGGACAATAAGAAATACGCGCGGCGAAGGCAGAGGAGGAGGATCGCCCTTATAGCTCCGAACCGTCGAGGAAACTTCTTGTACTATAATATCTCGACTGTATAGTATGCGTGTGTATGCGCACCACCCCCTCACATATATACACATACACACACACACACACACACACAACTGCTGGCAGATCTATAGCCGCAATGCCATTATCTTTCTATATAATACCCTCACCCGCACTACTCGAAGTACGTATAAACTTGTGCAAGTTAAATATCGTCGTCAGCTCGACGGTAAGAAAAAAAAAGCGGTGGACTCGAGGCGAATGAGTATAAAGGATTACCGCACTTGCTCCCATGACGTATAACATAAGCTCATCAGGAATTGAAATTTATCGTAGCCGGCGCTCTTCGTGATCGGTTAATGAGCTACCACTGCTGTTGATGATTTTCGAAGCCTCATTGTCCTCTTTCAACTTTATAACAGCAATTAACGCGTCCGCACATCTCTCTTAACTGCGTACAAATGTGTATTATATTATTATTATAGAGACGAGTGAGAATACGTTTACGCGCCGATCACACGTGTACGAAAAGATCGGCGAGAGAAAATCGGTCACGTCCGCCACGAGAGAAGAAGGAGGAGGAGGAGGAGGGGGAGGAGTCGTCGTCGGGGCAATTAGAAAAAATTAACGCTGACCGCAAGCGATAGCCGCCGTTGCTGCTGCAGCCCGAATATGGCTCGCTGCGGGACTTTTTTTCTCCCTTTAGCACAATATATAAATGCCAAGATTTATACCATCGTTGTGTCGTGTGTCTTATATACACAGCCGCGCACTGATATTTTGCTGCTGAACTTCTTGGAACACGGATCGTTGCTTCGGCTCAATTTTTTTTTCTAATAAAGCGTTGCGTCCGCGCGCAATCTCTAATGGCTCTCTCTCTCTTTTCTGTCTCTTACTTACTTGTTTACTATATGTTTGCACTCGAGCCTAATTGAGTGGAATAGGAAGTAGTGCGCATAGATATGTACGTGTGCGTAGGTGTGGTGTGCACGGACATAGGTCCCACATATATAACTCTTTTTCTCGTCGCGAATCTTATATATATTACAAGGCGCGCATTTAAAACTGCCTCCGCAGGCAGTAAGTACAATATATAAGTACGCATGTGGAGAGAGAGCGAGAGAGACTCGTGGCCGGCGCAGTCCGTCCGTCTGTTTGGTGCCCCGGAAAAAGGGGAGCACTCGCGAGCAGTACACTGGCATATTACATACACACACAAGCTGCCTTTGGTGGTAGCAGCAAGAAAAGAAGCAGAGAGAATAAGAAAGGCTATACGATGTGTAATAAGAGAGAAAGACCGACGGTCAGTTTTTTCGAATCCGCGCGCAAAGTGATCCTGGCCGTAGTTTTTTTTTCGGCAGCTCATACTACTCTACTCCTTCTGCATCGCAACTGTCGGTTATGCGTCGGTATATATAACTATATATATAATCTGAAGTAAAACATACTCATTGGGAAGAGAGAGAAAAGACATACACACACAGAAGCACACATGTAGCCGGTAGCAGCATACAGTAGCAGCCTATTAATTTATACGCTCTCTCTCACTCACTCGGGTTCTTTGGCGTCTTCGTCGTCGTCGTCGTTGTCGTTGTGTTCGACGCGCCTCTTCTCTCTCTCTCTCTCTCTCTCTCTCTTTCTCTCGTAAGCTGCACTGCACTGCTACGTGTGTGCACGCGCGCGCGCTACTTTTTTTCTCAACATAAATACACAACGCGCAAGATGTGATATCCCTCCTCTCTCGCGCGCGACTTTTATACGTACGCATCATATGCATTTTTCGTCTTTTTTCTTATCCTCCGTCCTTCTCTCTCTTTCGTCCGACGAGGAGTTTCTGCGAAATTTGCAACAACTAATCGGCTGTCCGCCAGAGCTCTCACTGCTGCCAGGCAGCCAGTGCACTTTTTCTCGCGCCCGCGTAATTCCGCGCTCCTCAGCATCCAAAGACAACGATGACGAGCGAGCGAGCGATGCGCTTTCGCGCTAAATGCCCGCGCGCGCCCGCAAAGTTTCACATATTATGAACCGCGCGCGCGTGTATGCTCGTAATAAAAAACAAAACAATCTGCTCGCGACCATCGTCGTCGTGCCCATTTTTTGCCACTTCCCTATATCTCGCGCTTTTTATCACCTCACGATGATTTCTCATAAACGTTCTTCTCTCCCGTGTGTTACGCAGTCGTCCAGACGTCGATGCCGCAGAACGAAGCGGAGCTGCAGCTCTACCGGGTGATGCAGCGGGCCTCGCTGCTCAGCTACTACGACACGCTGCTGGAGATGGGCGGCGACGACGTACAGCAGCTCTGCGACGCCGGCGAGGAGGAGTTCCTCGAGATAATGGCCCTCGTCGGCATGGCCAGTAAGCCGCTTCACGTGCGTCGATTGCAGAAAGCCCTCCAGGAGTGGCTCACCAATCCTGGTACGTTGATCTGCTGTTGACTTGCTGATGACTACTTTCAATAACTTTTGGAATGAAACAATAATGTCGTTTCGCGCAGCTATGTTTCAGACGCCAGTAGTGCCGACCAACTCGACGACGAGCAGCAGCGCCGTTGGCGTCTTGCCCGGTAGTCAAGTGGCCAAAGTCCAACAACAGCAGCAACAGCAGCAACAGTCGATCGCGAGTCTGCCCTGCATCGGCAGTTACAGTCCCAACACGCGCCAACAGCTCCAGGCCATCGCCAGCTCCCTACCCCTCGTCCAGCCTGCCAAGCAACAACAACAGCAGCAACAGCAGTCGGGCGTGGTGGCCAACGCGTCGCCGCTGCTGCAGCCTGTGATGCAGCCCGCGGTCGCGGCGACGTCCACCGGCAGCCTCGCCTATCCCTCCGTGGCCAGCGCCTGCTTTCCTCTGCAGCAGCACCGCAAGAGCCTCAGCCCGTCCCCTCAACAGCAGCAGCCGGCTTACGCGCCCGTCGCAGCGATGCTCTCGCAGCAGCAGGACACCCCGGTGTCGAGCGACGGAGCCGCCCTGCTCCCTTTGGCTCGGAGCCCGGGCCTCGTGCAGCTCGGCAGCTACGAGAGCAACTCCTGCGGCAGCCAGGCCACGACGCCGAGCCCGAGTCCGGCCAGTCCTACGCCACCCGGAGGTCTGACCTCCGCGGCTAGCGGTGGGGCGCCGATCCTGCTCGAGTCGCAGGTGCACAGACTCGCCGAGGCGGCCGAGCGACTGGCTCAGAACATCAGGCCTCTCAATCCCAAACCTCCCAGTGGAATCAAGAAGAAGATGTGCAAGAATCTCGAGGTGAGTAATTCAATGACCTAACGATATCCGTTAAAGAAATTTGTCGACATTTTTCACATTTCGTATGCGTTTCAGATGGTCATGGCGATGCCCGAGACGGATCCACGTCGTATGGAGGAGATTCGCAAGTACGCGGCGATCTACGGTCGCTTCGACTGCAAGCGCAAGCCCGAGAAGCCCCTGACTCTGCACGAGGTCTCGGTGAACGAGGCCGCGGCGCAGATCTGCCGCTTCGTTCCTGCTCTGCTGACGCGCCGGGACGAGCTTTTTCCGTTGGCCCGTAGAGTCGTTCGCGACGCCGGCCACTTTTTCTCCAAGGCCTTGCTTCACTCCTCGTGAGTATCCTCCCTCCGTAGATTGATATACTTATTATTTAAAAAATCATTGCGACATTATTGATTTCGTAGGTCCAATACGTCGCCTCGATCATACTCGACGAGGGATAACGGCGAGGCCGATCTGTCCGGTGGCGACGACTCGATGGAGGCCGCCGTCAAACGACGCAAATTCGTCGTCGACGACGAGCCCACCGACAAAGATCACGCGTCCGACCAACATCAGCAGCAGCAGCAGCAACAACAGCAGCATCAGGTTAGCGCGCCAAGTAAATCGAATAAATGACCCTTTGATAACACCTGATACGACGACCCTCTCGATGTCTTGCACATTATTATTCGTCGAGATTGGCTAACAACAGCTGCTACTACTTGTGTAGTTGCTCGCACTCGTATAACTATATCACAATTTTGTTTCATTTTATTTGATTTTTTTCTTAATTTACTTAGCATTATAATTAACGCTATACCTCACTAGTAAACGAAAATTACTAACCAATGCAACGGCCATGGCTAACTCTGTGCGTCTTCCCCCCCGTACCTGGATATGCGTCTAAGACGACGATTTTTTTTATAAGGTCAAGTATTCCGTGTTAAGCTTTGCGAATTAATATTTAATTTTTTTTTAATTTTTCAAAAATTTTTTTATTTTGTCTGAGCTTGTTTTCGTAGATTTTTGTGCATGTGATTTTTGTAGAGTAGATGAATTACCACCCCAAAAATAAATGTATGTAAATTTCTGATTTAACGCGCGTGTGTGTGTGTGTGAGTGCGCGTATTGTATAGAAATGTAGAAAACCGGTAGTATATTGTGTTACACGTAACGTGATTGTTTGTAAGCCGGTTTTTTTTTCTGGCGTCGAAGCAGTCACGCTGTATTATATATATCAGCTGTACCGTTTGTAGCAGATACGTACCTGTTCTAGGGCGATCACAACAACGCGTTCGGCATAAGGTGCTCGAGTTTCGCACGCGATCACGGCATGTCCATCGACTCCGACAGCAATTCAGCGGCGGCAGCGCCCAATATGATGAGGAATCACAGGCACAGAAAGCGTCACCGGCGACGTCAACGGCCACCTGCTGCTCCCACGGCCTATCATCTAGCTCACCACAAGTCGATCTCGAGGTAACCGCCAGCCGATCCTCTTTTCAAATTTATTCGCACTAGCAACGCGTTTAAATAACGAACTTCACCGTCTTTCAGTTCAGTCTGGCAAGCTTGCGCTGACAATACGAACAGTCTCGTACTCGAAGGCGTGGTCGAGGGCTTCGACGACTCGGACGGCTGCTACTCGTCGTTCGACGACATGGACGACGACGACGACGATGGCTGGGACGACTGCAACGGCGACGATTGCGACGACCATTTCCCGGTGGTCGATTCGGATGACGATGTCGCCGATAACTCACGCCTCGACTCGGTCGTCGCTGCCCCTTCGATACACGTAAGTTAAAGCGAAGCTTTTTTGCTGCATAGTGTGAACTATGTAATTGTGCCCATTTTTAGTTGTAAATCTGCAAGTGGAAAAGTAAAAATATTCCTATAAGTTAACAAGAATAAGTCACAATATAGTTATACTTATTTCGACTACTTGAACGCAAATTCTGATGTACCGATTTTCCTGATATGATAGTGTAGGGTTTTTCTATCTTATCCACATGTGAGACAAACAATTTCTTCTGAGCTGTCCGTTTAATTGATATCCTATACTTATCTTCATTGAGACCAAACATTTTAACCGGATGCGTGAGCCATTCTTTTTACAGAAGGTTCGCTGGTTGAGTGCGTAAAACGTCTTTAATGGCTGTTTCTGTTTCCACGCTGAAAAAATATAAAACATTAATAGTGAGTAAATGAGTGAGTGATTGAGCAACTATTCCTGAGTTGTATAATAAAATTGGCTGCCAGTCACACTCTGGAATCATTCAGTAATATTATATTTTTTTACCTTCAAATGTATCCTTGTCTTTATCACTTTAAAAGCATTAGTTCGGTTGAGCAGACAGTACGGCTAGTACAGTCTTTACGTGAGATAGGCGAGGCAAGAATTGCTGTAATGGAGCTCGATGCGCTGTTACAGTTTATTTATAAAATGCATTTTCGTAGGATTCGCAGCATCGGATTCAAATGGAACAGGATGATGTGGGTTGCATGGTCGATAAAGAAAACGACTTTAATCTCAAGGTAATGTAACTTTTGATACATCTACATTCTGCATCAACTTATTCTGTTGTAGTTAACTGTGTTTCTTCCGTTTTGCAGGTCATCGCATCCTGCGGTGACAATATCATCGCCGTAGCCAATCCTGCCCTTATGAATCACAATCAGTCACCGACCATTAAGAAAGAACATCCGATCAAAGAGGAAATATGCTTACGCGACAGGCGAGACTGACTGTCGTTCATAATAATACTAGTAATAAATGAAGAAATAAATTGCAATTCTTTTCAAGATTTTGAATACATATTTTACATAGTTTTTGTAATTCGACTGTACCTCGCTGTGTATAATTCCATTACTTCTGCTGCAAAATATTATAATAATTTTAATTCACCATTGTATGTAAATAAATATAGATACATAGATTAAGTCGATTAAATTTTATAGTTATCTTCAATTTTTTTTAACTTATCCATACCTCTTTATCAATGTTTGCTCAGGTTAAGTAGTATTTATTTGGTAATATAATGGTGAAGTCTAGACTAAGCGCTTGGTGCACGGTAAATAAGTTAAAAATTTAATCTGGTATCGCAATTAATTGTTTTATATCATAAAAAAGGTGGAAAATGATCAAAATCTAAAAAATATAGGTCGGAAATTCATTTAAACTCGTATCATATCTTCAAATTGCACTTTTTTTAATTTCTCCAAAGAAAATTGATGGAAAATTGACATTTTTTAAATATTTTAATCTGAATTTTTTTAAATTTCTTCAAATGGTAGCTTTTTCTGTATACAAATTTCAAATCAATCGAACTACTGGTTTTTAAAGCACAATTTGTTTTTGCTGAAAAAGCTATCTAACATTTTATGATACAGTGTCTTACATCCAACAGGTTTAACGTGACAAACTCGTTGTAATTAAAAAACTAAGTATGAATAAAAATTTACTGAAAATTAAAGAGTTCTGAATAAATCAGCGAGCAATAAAACGATGATAGATCTTCTCGCATATCAGAATGATCAATGATAATGAAATACCACTGCTCAATACGATATAAGGAAATTTCACGGTTTTTATTGTTGCCACCTCAAAATTGTTGGTGTCCTCGTCGGATCTTCCTATTAGGATCCATTTCTTTTTAACGGCACTCAGTATTCCGACAAGATGAAACTTCTGCAATCTGAATTGAAAAAAATTACAGTTGATATTACAATTTTTTTTTGAATGAAAAATACATAACTGAAAATTAATGACACTCGTGTAGGGGCTATTTTTTTGAAGAACGAAACCCATATTGATTAATCGTCCTTTATCGATCGCTACTAGTTTACATTCCTTGGGTGGTAAAAAGCCCCTCATGCTTATCATCGCCTCGCTCATGTAGAATACCAATGAACTATCAACGGCACATATCTCCAACACGAGAGAGATAATAATTATGGGATTAAAATCTCTTCATTATTTAAAGAAAAAACAGTTTACATTACTCTTTCATATAGTTTATCCATTGATGGTTCCGTAACAGTATTTTTTCGCATTATCTCACTTGTTTTATTCTTAGTGCTCTTTGAAAGGAAGTCATTCGCTTGGGTATACATTATACTTTATTTTTTAAAAATTAATGTCGAATATTCTTACTGATAAGTTTTCCATGTAAGGACTATTACTCAGTGTTAACAATTTGATAGTATTGTGTTCAGCTGTGAAGATCTCATCGAGCGATGGTATCGCAGGTTTGTAGACAGCTCTGAGGCTCGTAAGTTTAGCTACGATAATTGCATTTGATAATAGATAGAATGTTAAGAGAAAAAAGTGAATTATTCGTGCTGATATTCTCACGGGATCATCTAAGAAAATTATGGATGTGGCATTGATAAATCATTAAAGATTTTTAATAAAATTGCGAATAAAATACGTACGTGTCACATTTCCATTAAAAATTATGGCCATAGAATCATAAAAATGATCCATAAATATTTGAGCGGTGCTGTTTGAAAATCTCACCTTATCCGTAAGCATTATCATTGACAAGATAATAGAAGAAACGACCATAATACCGTAAATAGAGAATGTTGTTGAGGTTGTCATGGCCTGCGAAATTTTTTTTTTATACAGAACCTTATAAGGATCGATCGTACGTCGAATTACTTACCGAATACTTCATAAAATCTCGGACATTGTCATTACTGGATTTCATGAAATACGACAATCTCGTCTCGATCAGAGGCATCGAGAAATCAAAAAGTTTGAGCCTTTCGGTGGTCATCGCGAAAAAGCCCATGCCAAGATCCGTCTTTTTCAACGCTAGATTGCGGAGAATCCCGTCGACCGTATTGGTCTTCTCGTCTAACATGCCTATGAAAGATGCGGGAGGCTGCCAAGCGATGGTGAGATTGATGCGCTTGGCAATTTCCGTCACCAGCTCGTGGGCCATTCCTATTACTTTGCCGTCTTGGCCGATAAGTTCCTGAATCATTATAGATCGAACGTGACAGTTGATGAAATCGATAATGATATCTTACACTCTCCTACCTTGTGAAAGCTAACTCGTATGGTCAATCCGCCGAGGTCCTGTCGACGCTCGTTGAACAGCACGTCCGTCATGTACTCGTTTCTCTGGTGCTCCTCGTTTTTGTGCCATCTGACCAAATCGTAGATTTCGGTTTTGTTCGGATACACGGAGTACCACTCACGAATTATCTCCGAGTCGTGACACTTGACCAGAACCATAGAGTCAAAGACCAGATTCAATGGATTTCCCTCTGGATTGTGACACACGCGCGCTTCACTTTCGAAAATCATGATCACACGGAAGGCTTTGCTGTTCAAGCTCCGAGTCAAGTTGGCGTAGTAACGAAAGTCACTTTTCGACACGATCACTATGAAGAGCAGTGGATAGTTGATTTTATTTCGGTAGTACTTGTAATCCATCGGCATTTGATTCATTTTCACGACAGACGAGTAGATTGAATTATTCGATAGCCATTTAATGTTGTCTATACTACGTTTCGTCATGTATAAATCTGCCATGGAAAAATGAACGGAAAATATTTTAAAACACGTTTTTATAAACGTGCTATAATTGAGAAATACACTACCGTTAGCATCACTCCCAATTGTCAAAACATATTTTGTAAAGTAAATATTGGAGAAGTCGAGAAAGTGCTGCAACATAGCCTTATGATAATGATCGAATTTCATAGTTTCAACTGATGCGGAAATTAGAAGAATGAATCGAAAAATCCACATGATCAGGTGGCTTGTGTATCCTCGCAAAGTACGACAGATCTTGTGTAACGGCAAGAATAGAAAATCCATGCAGTAGTTAAATGGAAATTGATTTTGCACAGATGCACAGGCAGGTTATTTCGCTAGAGAAAAGCTTTTAGCTCGTTACGAGCATGCGAATCGTAATAACAATGGTCAAGAACGCTATCAGTCTCTATCCGTCGCTATGAGTATAAGTTTTTGGTTTGCGATTGTATCGTTGAAAGTGAAACGATGGGTCGACAATTTTTGCAATCTTGATCATGTATACTCGGCGTTTCATTTTACAGAAAAGATAGCAGAACCTGCATTTCATGAATTCAAATGAGTGGGAAACTGTCACGTTTTTTTAGAAGTAAACTTATAGCTTACTTATAAGAATAAGGTTGATCGAAAATCCGATATTTCACTATAAAATTTTTAAGCACTTACTGCGTAAGCATGAAGGTATAAATATTTTAGTTTCAGTTTTTTTATTTCTGTCGAATCCAGCCTCAGAAAAGTGAAACCGCATATAACGGCATCGTATTTTACTTTTGACTCCAATGAAACATTGACTCGAAACGAAATAAGATATAGCAATAACAACGGTCAAAATGACTACTGCGACTAAAAAATTAATGTACGCGAAGCGCGTAAAAAGTTAAGAACACTAGTCTATTTATAAAAAATTTATGTGTTAAATGACGTAAAAAGATTTGAAGCGATACAATCCCCACACATGATGTAAGTCGCGAAACCAAACTGATAAAGTTCGGGGTGAGCGATCAAGTGCGATAAAAAGTGACAAGTACTATAAAATTGACACCAACTCAAGGTTTTCAACGTCTTATTAATTTTTAATTAAAAATGTGCATCATTTTCCTCTAAAAATGTATTGATTTTTTGAGAACTTAAATATTCTTTTTACATAAAGAAAATACATTAAAAATAACATTGGAGAAACTTAAGGTGTCCCTTACTTTTCAAATTTGATTTTTTTACAAAGGATACCTTAAATCTTTAATGTATCGTGAAAAAGTTAATTCAAATCTCAAACCTATGATGTTATTATGATATTATGCTCTGTACCTGATGTTTGATAAACCACCAATCTCTCTATCTCTCTCTGTCTTTCATTACATGTGCATAGCCGACTAGGTGACGGCTCGATACATTACAGAGTCGTGAACTAGAGCTAAGTACTGCACTAGCCGATTCGAGACTTTTTTCAAACTGTAAGTTAGGCTTATGCCTATATTATTATTTTATTTTATTCCTAAGTGATACTTTTTGTTTTGATACATTTTCTCATAAATTTTCTTTAGCTTTTAATAAATTAATTTCTCTTTTTTTCTAACTACGACCATCTCTCTTCCAAGGCAGATTTTTGCTCTACTTCCCCCCGAAATCCAGTACGACCTTACTGCACATTTGAATAAAAGATTTATTGTAAAGTCTGTTTATAAATGTAGAAACTGAAATTATTGATTAAGTTTTATGCTCTAGAAAAAAAAACTTTAAAAATAAAATATATCATTACTTAATAATTTTTTAAGTTGTCAGTCAATAAAAATAAAAAAAGGTTAACGAATAAAAAGTTGACTGTATGGAAACTTCTGCAAGAATGGCTAAAGTAGAAATTCTCAGTAACGAAGAAATAGATAGAATGTACTTAGGAACAAATAAAATTTACTATGAATTTTGTTTTTTGTGGCCATTTCAAAATCGAAAAATCCAAATGGTTGGAAGAACATTTATACTTCTTAACATGTTTTATGTAGTATACTAACGGTAAGAAGAACTCAATCAGACTGACATTAATTTGTCAATGGATCATAAATATTATTACTTTATAGTTGTCAACTGTAATTAATAAAACTTTTAAAAAACCGATTAATTGGGCTACTGCAGTTCAAAATATATTTGAATGTAGCTTCGAACTAACTGTTTCTAGTATTTTTTCAATATTTCTTGCAATGGAATCAGAGGTATTTTAATATATTTCAAAAACTACATAATATAAAGTAACAACAAACTTATATTTTCATTTGTCAGATTTACAAATTTAACACTGACACAGTGGATTTTTGGAATAGCGTAACTATAACCGAAGAAAAGCAAATTTTAATTAACAGTTGCTTGAAATGTCGAAAAATAACCGTAATTTTGAGAAGTATGTCTGTTGTATATCGAGAACTAACAAATAAAAATAAAATCAAAAGATATATTATCAAACCATTTGATTTTCCTATCCAGGGTTCATCATGTTTTCATACATGGGATTCGCTATTATTCCTGTAATAATGGCCCCAATAGCAAATCGAATAAATCCTGCTTTAAACTGGACCCAACAGTTATGTACAACTAGTGAATTACCAAGGCGAGATGAATATTTCCAATTCTGGTTCATTTACACTATTTTACTCATGGCAATGTTTGGAATAATTGTATGCGCAATACTGTCAGCTGTGTGTGTTTTCATAACTATTAATATTTGTAGATTTTATTTGATTGGGTAAATCGGTTTTAGTTTTGGAATATGTTGATATTTTTTGGATTTTACGTTCATATTTAAATTAAAAAACTTTTAGCCATCGAATGGAGAAACTATACAAATTGATTTCCAGTAATTCTTTTTCATTTGGTGGATTTTCAGATCGCTATATTTATAATGAAGTTAAAGATATTGTTAAACTACACAATGAAGCGATTGAGTGAGGCATTTCTAAAATATGAACTTTTACAATTGAATCGTTTTATTTATAAATATTGCAGGTACTTTGAATCTGTGCAAAATTTTGCTGGAAAAGTTTTAATTATCATAATGAGTTACATTTTGTGTGGTATGAGTTTTACCGGGACTATGGTGAGATCGATCGATAAACCGAATGAGCATGACTTCGTTAATGATAAATTGAATAATTTTCAGGTATTGTATGCTTGGAAGAATAATCAAGTCTTTTTATTAGTGGAAATGAGTTTAGCATTTACGTGCATAATTTTACTTTCGTTTGTAATAAGTCATTTTGGCAGGTACTGAACGATATAAGCAGTAATATTTACGACATCAGGTACAAATATACTATTACCAATAATTATATTTATTAAAAAAAATCCAAGTTTTTTTCATGAAATTTAAATTCAAGTTACTTTAGTGGGTGGTATCATTTTCCGTTGAAAACAAGACCATTTATACAATTAAACATGATGAGAGCATTAAAACCTTGTGAATTAACATCAGGACCTTCACCCCTTTTAAATATGAATTATGAAAATTTCACCGCTGTAAGTATGCAATTATTAGTTAACAATTTAAAGATTGATATAACAGCAAATTCTTTCGAATCCAGCTTGTCAATACTGCGGTTTCTTACATGACAGTAATGGCTTCATTAATTTAGTTGTTCAAAAACAATCATTTAGAATTTTTCAAAAATAATTATCAAACTGAACAACGATTTCGCGGTTATACATGATTTTTCGCGGATTTCCTCTATGGATTTCATCGGACTTTTGTTGGATTCTGGTTAATCAATTATACGTCATTTTATTTCGCATTGAAAACAAAAATCAAATTTCGTTTAAAACGAAGTAGAATTTGATATTAAAAATATTGCTTTTTACTGAAAAAACACCGTTATTTCACTGTAAAAAATCAGAATAACAATCGAACTTTATCAAGACAAAAAACATTAGTAAACACATTTGATGGGAATAATCAAATTTTTTACTATCAAGTGGATTGAATTTTTGCATCAAACAATTTATTAGATTTATTGATACTTACATAACATGATTTTTTTTTAATCCTTCGACAACAAACAGGCAAATTGATGCGAGATTTTGTACAGCTTTCAACATTGAATGAAATTGATAAAATTTTTTCTTTTTTCTTTTTAAATAAATCATTCTAATGTAGTAATTTTTTACCTATCAAACGAAATAAGTATTTCCAGCAGACAAGTATCACAAGTTTACAAAGATGTTATAAGTATTGTATCGTCTTAATTATGTTTTACACAGCTACGACCACTGAAACTCTTTTGAAACTCTGTTTGTTCAGAACAATCATTTTAAACTCTCTTTCAATAAAGAGTTTAAAAATCTCTTTATTTCATTCTAAATTTACAATAATAATGATGATGAATGTAAATTGTAGAAAATTATATAAATTCAGATTTTTATAAGATACGAAAATATACAGCGGCCGCATTTTATTCGGCCAGAAAGGTCACTTGAAACAACGTACTAATTAAATGCTCGATTTGTAAAAATATCGTCACAAATAAAATATTATGTGTCTTTTTTAATGTAAGTTAGTTTTGCTTGAGTATAAAACAAAAATAATGTTATTGTTAATACATTATTTTAGTTTTCGTAACACGTTATACATAAACCTCTATATTTTTTTATTTACAAGACATCTTGGTGCATTTTTACTAACACGTTGCATTATCACTTTAAATTGTGGTCGATATATTGCTTAAATTTAAGACGTGAAATCAAGGCAAGATTAACAGCCAACAAATAATTTGATTTTTACAATATAGAATTACAATTCATTTGCTCCATTAGAAAATTAACGACACCCTCGCGTTAATGTGCATAAACAAAATATGCATTCTTAATAATATAAAAAAATATTTGCAAAATTTGAATAATCTCTCTTGTTTATCATGATAAGTTTGTCAATTAAACTATTACATACTCATTCTCAATGTGGAATGTACAATTCTATTATCGATCAGTTTTATACCTCGTTCGAAATATTTTGTATAAAAACATGACATCGAAGTTTATTTCTGTAAAAAATTGAGTAATTAAAAATCGTCAATCATGCGAGCTGCCTATTCCAATATAACTGTTATAAGAAATAATATGCAAAATAATAAATAAATGTATAATTGAATATTGACTAATTTCAAAGATTACTTTTGGTAATTTTTTAATTTCAATTATTAGATAAATAAATTTAAAGTTAAATGCAAAGCAATTTATCATGACGACTGATCAGTTCTATCTTATTTAAACTTAAAGAATAAATTATGCAACGCATGGAATAGTGAAGCTCACACTTCATATTTGCGTTAGTGACGAAGAAAAACTTATATACATATATTACAATTTTCAAATACATTTATAAATGCGGATTATCCCCAAAACGATTAGATAACCGTAGAATTAAAGCTTAACAATTTTACTATTGATATCCCGGTTTAAAGAGACAATTCGATGGATTTCAGTAAGCTTCTTTTTATAATGTCAAAACCACTTTTTCAAGTAATAGAAATAACGTGATTTGTACAATTCTTAATTAACAACGTTATTTCTTAAAGGCACTTTTTAGTTTATCGACTTCTTGTATAATAATCTTTTTATAAAATATTAAGTGCAGTCCACTTGTATAATACTACTAGATCGCACAATTTGAATAACAGTTAATTAATCGTCTATTGCTAAAATTATTTCTGATCTTGACTTTTGCTTTGTCAAGTAACTTCATGATACATTCATTTGATAAATAACTTTTGTCACTTTTCTCAAATAAAGAACGATCAATTCCTTCACTCTTACATATTCTGAATTAGAATAATAAAAAACTCTAGAATTTTAATTTCGGGCGGCCAAAGTTGGTATTTTAAACTCTTGAATAAGAGGGACAAGAATACTAGGACTTTGAGCTTGCATTAAAAACGGATCTTCCAGTAATTGTGCAGCGGTAGCTCGATGCGCTGGATCGCGAACCAACATTTTCTCCAAGAATTTTAGCAACCTTGGACTTACCTGCAATACATTTTAATATAATACACTTTTAAAAATAATTGTTTTGAATATTATTCCAAATTAAATTTGACATTTATTACCTTATTTGCATTTTTCAATTTTGGTGGGGGCATATCTCTAATCCGACGCATAGCTTGTAACGGGGGTTCATTGAAAAATGGTGGTTCACCATCGACCATTTCGATTATCATTATACCTAACGACCAAATATCAACTTCGGGGCCATACGGTAATCTACAGACAAATTTACAAGATTTGAATAAATATTTCCATCAATTAATACTATCATTTTATTGAAATTGTTAAAACAGTTTACCTTGAAATAACTTCAGGACTCATCCAGTAAGGTGTGCCAACTAGAGATTTTCTTTTTGGCAATTCTTGAGAAACTTGAGCACAGAACCCAAAGTCGGATAATTTTACTCGACCATCCGACGTCAAAAGTATAGAATCAGATTTAATATCTCGATGGATGACACCTTGTGAATGTAGGTACTGTAAAGGTTTAAGGCACTGCAGGCAAACTGTTGCAATTTGACTCTCATCCATTCTTGAATTTGTCACTATGTCCGTCAGAGCGCCGCCTTCGAGATACTCCATGACAACCCAAAGTTCGTCGTTGACCAGAAAACTATCATACATTTCAACAATGTTCGGATGATGATAATCTCGCATGATAACTACTTCATTAAAAAGCAGCTCGCGTCGCTGCTGTTTACGTAGATCCATCTTTTTGACAGCAACTTGACGATTAGTTGTCTTGTCAGTAGCTATGCAGACAGTTCCTGTACTGCCTTCCCCGATTTTCTCAAAGTTTTCAAGGTTTTCTCTTGGGTCACCAGTGCTCACCTAAAATAAAATAATTGAATTAATAATCAAATTTTTAAACAAAATACTTTAATCAAAAGCGTGCTTTTTTTTAAATGGCTTGCTTTACATACCACCATCTGTAGGGCAGCTCTAAATTGCTCATGAGATAGTCGTTGATCTGAATTTTGTTTAGCAGCATTGTTAGCAGCAGCTGCACCACCATGAACTAAATTACCAGAAGACATTGCACCTTTCATATTCTGATTTTGGTCTGTTGAAGAGCTAACAGTAGGCATTGCTCCAGGCATTGTCACTTGAGCAGCAGCCTTTGAAAGATTATGCATTGATTGTGAACTCTCAATTAGCTTGTTCTGGAATTGTGAATGATAATTTGGATTTTCTTGGACTCCATAATTTTGAGCGTGTTTGGTAACATTGTGTGAGCTCAATTGACTCAATGGACGTTGTGAAGCAATTGAACCAACAGGTGAAATTTTAGGTGGATGCATCATCATATTTTGTGGCACAGGTACGTGATTAATTTGAGGTGGTTTCATATTACCATTGTACTGATTAGGAAGTACTGGAGGCACTGAAGGGTTCATTCTTTGGAAATCATAGTCTTGCACTTGTGGAATGTTTGTACCTGATGGGCTTTGCACATTTGGTATAGGACTTAAATTCTGAAAGTTCATTGACAAATTCTGTACATTAGGTCCCATGTGAGGTAAATTTGGTGAAGACTGCATATTGGGATTTAAATTTTGTAAATTTGGAATCATATTATGGCCTAAACTGGGTAATACTGGACCGGAACTAGTAGAATTTGGTCTCATTTTGTCATTATACCCATGAACTTTGTTGTTATTGGGATACATTTGCATTGTCATGGGATTCATGGACATTTCTTGACCTTCTGGAACGGATGGTGGTAAATTGGCATTATTTCTGTAGTCTTTTCTAAATCTAGGAGGACTCGAAGATCTGAGTGAATTAGACCTTGCAACACTACTTATTTTTGGCAAATGATTCTCTTGACGTTCTCCCATAGCTGACTTGATCAATCTAACATCATTGTGACCTCGTACAATGGTTTTAAGATCTAAAATTTCAACAGGGGTAATTTCACTAGGATCCACCAGAGGTAATGGCCTATTGGTGGACTTTAGGATTTGATTATTTCCAACAATGGAAGCCCATTGCAAAGGTAGTCCTACAAATTTTCCCTCTCGTTTATCAAATCCTGTGTGCACTCTATGTTCAAAATTTGTTGGTGTTGATATTTGTGGCTTCTTTTTCTTTTTGGCAAACATTTTGATGATTTTATTTTCACACCACTGTCAATATGAGCTGATCTGAAATTTGAATAAAAGTAATGGTAAGTTTCATAATTTTCATCATGAAATTATTTTTTTAAATAAGTTGTAGCAAGTGCAAGTTACATTTGTGCTTTAAATTAAAAATTTTAAGAATTTAGTCATGCTTAATGGTATAGCAATGTTAATGGGACATTAATCAAATGACAATTTTTTTCAACATTTTAATGTTTCGAACCAAATTTCAAGTCAAATTTATATATAATTTTTGACAGCAATAAATATTTTGCGAGGTATGAGAAGTTGGAAATTAAAAAAAAAACATCAACATTAAAATTTTCGATCGCTCGATACCATGCGAAAAAACAATAGTTTTAACGCAATCAAATTTTTGAGTAGACCAATCTTTAGGTATTACTTTATTGAGCTTTTAAAGAGTTTGTTTTGAGTCGATAGCAGACGACTTGTCTAGCTAGTAGTAGCTCGTGACATGTGTACGCGAAAATCAAAACTACCAAATTTACTTCCATTCATTACATTATTGAAATACGCCTATTATTCCATAAAAAATGCTCTAAGATTAATTTAAAAAACGGAAAAGTAAAAAAAATTGTTTTTTTTTTTTATTACAACTGATCTGTCATTTAGAAATTAGCATTTTATCGAAATTTTAAAGCGTGTACTATAATTCAAAAACTATTCGTATTAGTCGAAATTTTCAAGCAAACATTTCTATATGTAGGGACCCTTTTTTAAAAGAACCCTGTCAATAAAAATCTCTTTTTTTCATACATAAATGCGCAAAATGTTCACCTCGACTATTGAGCGCGAGAATGAAAATAAACAGATTGACAACGAAGCGTGATAGGTATGTATCAGTATCAGTATTTAAAAGCAAGTACCGCACGGTATGTGGCACGCGTGCAGTTAAAGCAATTGCAATCACTTCGGTGTGTGTATGTATGTGTATGTGTGTGTATAGTATATGTGCATATATACAAGCGAAGTATATGTAAGTACATTTATATCGGTGAAACGACTGCAAAGTGCATTGAACACGGCGCACATTCCAGCGCATCTGTTTAGACTAGGAATGCATCGGAATTGCAGATGTGTGAGAGAGAAAGAGAGAGAGAGAGAGAGAGAGCGAACAAGTTGAAGTGGACAGTAGCAGGCAGCAACGGCAGCAGCAGCAGCCGCCGCACGAGACGTATAGCAGAAAAGGAAAGTGAGAGCGAGCGATGCATCGTGTTTGACGGGTAGGCTATTTACCTGCTGCAGTAATACAATTATAAACTCGAGGCGAAGCAAGTCGACGAACTGTTGAAACTCCGAAGAGAGCAGCGACTCCGCTTTCAATATGTTGTATGCGGAGTCGGTCGAAAGGGTCGATAGCAGCGGCGGCGGAGTAATTATCACAAATGTTTACGCGCGCAGAGATTCGTCAATCCACGAAGTTGGTACTCGAGCGTGACGACGACGACGAGGTGCAGATGAGCAAGGTGGAGGTAGACGAGGAGGAGGAGTAGAAGGTCCCAAAAAGCGTAGCAACGGCCAGTCGTCCACTAGCCGACATGTTGCCGCGCCTTTCCAGTCTATTTAGCGCGGACGCTGCACTTTCGGGGCTTTGCGGCTGCTGCTAAGCGTATAACTGCGCTGACAATGTTTCTGTTGCTGCTTCTGGCATCGCATGGACGCACTGACCACTGCTCTTAAACGCGCACAGATATATCACTGGATATGATATTTTTATATTCACTTGCGCGCGCACCAGATTCTTTCTTTTTTGTACGTCGTAAACGTGCGCAGCATGATTATATTACACACACTCGTATTATACACGGAGTCGCGGCTGCAGACACAAACAACAGCCGCGCGAGAAGTGACAAGAGAAAGAGAGAGACGACTGCCGCGCGGTCAGGTATTCGAATGCACTTGCTGCGCTGCATTCAATGAGCCTGTATAGGTGTGTATACGTGCCTGTGAGCAGCTATATAGTAAAGGTACTGGTAAGGACAGAAGTAGCCAGGCAGCAGCAACAGCGGCCTACCTGAGGCGCCTTTAACTATATAACCCACGACTAACAGGGGGGTCAACTTTCACTGACTATTTAAAAAAAAATATGTGTATACACAGAGAAACTCGAATGTGTGTATACGCGCGCGTGCGTATTTTTGTATAGTATGGCAATGTGTGTACACAAAAGCGCAGCGCTCGCGAGCCAACGGAAGCGGCGGGCGCGGCGGCGATTCACTACTCACTCACGCACACAACATCGAGTAGACGAGCCGTATACGCACGACTATTCTGCATTTTTCCGAGCGAATATATGTATCTATGCGTACAACAGTTAGGAGGAGAGCGGCTCCGCGACTATATGTGTAAAACTATATACACATACATACATATAAGTGTACTGTATAATTCATGTGAGCTGCTGGCTGCATTCACGCGTCCGCGAATACTATTTAGTATATTTTGCTTGTATATATAGTAAGTGCCGCGACGAAATGGGAAATGCCTGCACGCACGCTCACACATACGTATACGTACAGCATACACAGATTGGAGTCGCACTGACAGTGTAGTGTGCTCCTCTCTCTCGTTCCACTTTGTTGCCGCGCGCTACTCTATGTACCGAGAGTGTACACATACGAAGCAGCAGCAGCAGCAAGTTGGCATGCACACGCATACGCATATATCGGAGCACCCCTCGTCGTCGCGGTACTACCTATAATACAGTGCACGGCAAAGGTGAACAGCACATTATAATGCCGCAGAGAGAGAACGAGAGGGAGAGAGAGAGAGAGAGAGAGAAACTTGTGGCAGGTTGGCGATATAATCGCGATGCGACTGCGAAGCGCGCTACCTGTCGGTTCTTGACGCCAAGCTGCTTCGGCATTTTTCGGTAATTCCCGCGGGCAGGTATATATATTGTATGTATACAGGTATACGATTTGGGATGCAATTACTGAGTGAGTCGCGCTCGTGCACAAGTGCAGCGCGGCAGCGACATCCGTGTTAACATACACACTTATGTATTATAACGATAGCGAAGAGTATATTATAACGTAGGGATCGAAACTTTCGATTTTTCAACAAAAGTGTCCGGTGCCGCACCGATTTTTATAATGCCATACAATGCAAATATATACTGCGTACAAGTAAAGTTACACACGTGCTTATAATAAACACGTCCAACACTTGATCACTGATAATTTGATAATTAACGTATCGTTTTGACGCCTTCTGAATACAATACATCTGTCTTCGATGTCTCTCTCAGACACTCGTGTGTTATAGAGCTTCGCTTAATCGCGCAAGAAGGCGTAGAGAACGAATCGATCGATGTAACTGCGGATAAGATACGATTTCGGAATCTCCGTTGTAACTTTCATCGAGTATACGCGGAAACCTCCGATTGATGTATTGAATTATTTTCAACGGTGTACATGTGAGCGGTTATCGCTCGTCGATTGCATTATTGCTGCTGTATGTACTGTGAACGGTACTGCACGATGTACGCGAAAAACTTTCTATTTAATCTATAATCAATTGCAGTTCTCACGCCGAGTCACTGGTTTTTCTCATGCGCCTTTACGCGAGCCAAGTTTCCAATATTATTGGATGCAACGCACGATTACTTGGTATTTAATATAACTTATTTATTATAACTTTTTTCTTATAATTTTCCGATGACTTGGAATATCGTGAAATATTTTTATTTAAAATATTCTACAGTGATATAATTCGTATTTGATTTAGACGATTCCTAAAAACCCAATAAATTTACGAATTTGGTGACGTAATTAAATTTTAGAGCCTATCACATAGCTGCCTCTATGAAGAAGCAACATTTATTTTGATGAAAATTGAGATGGAATTGCTTTTGAACTGTTACCGAAATTATTATTTGCACTGCGACTTTAATTGAAATAATATAGCTATGCAAACCTTTCGAGTGAGGCACTTGCGACAAATTTTCAGGATGAGTTTATTATCATAAGGGATTAATTATAAAAAAAAAGGTGTTATCCATACTATACGCTTGATATATGTCTCTACGAACGAATTATTGGATACGAAAAATAAATACGTAAAAACAAAAACTTTTATTACTTCATTTCACATTATTAGTTTAAACATTTTTAACACTAAAAGTGATATCATCAGCGTGATTGTATTTTATTAATACATCATGAGTCTTTGTATTTTAAAAATCTTTTTTTTAATGTTACGTTAATTATAAATAAAATATCTTTTTAAATGCTAAGAAGACATAACGAACGAAATCGTTCCTTTTGTTTTCTTTAAGTCCATATCAGCTTTTTTTTACATTTTAAACTGTGACTAACAATACTCTTCATAAAATATATTATATATGGGTCAGATTCAGAATTTTTCAAATAAACCTGCGGGCGAGGTTCACGGATTTTCCTGAAATTTTGGTATGTTATAGTACATGATAAAAAAGTGCCAAAACCAAAATTTTGGACCCCCTCCCCCCTCCTACCCCCCTCCTCCCCTATAGACGTCCATTTTCTATCTATATTTTTTCTGAAGGCCTGAAGCTATTAAAAAATCTGAAAAAATTCATGAAGGTACTTTTCAACAATCCAAACAATCTTGAATTTTTTCAGATTTTTCGAGTGCTTCAGGCCTTCAGAAAAAATCATTGAAAATTTAAATTATTTTATTTTCGGTGAAATGGTTCGATGTACCAGACCGGAGTATTTTTTTCTGAATTCTGACGTCAAAAAACGATTCCTTGAATTTTTTCAGAATTTTTCATTCATGTCCATTCAGCCTAGAGCTGAAAAACCGCTTTTTTTCACGAAAATAATTTTTTTAAGGCGCTACGGAGCCTCAAAAAATCTGGAAAAATTTTTTTCTCATTTTGTTCATCAAAATACATAATCTCAAATTTTTTCAGATTTTTTAATTGAAGGCGATAGCGTCTGGAGCCGAAAAACGTTATTTTTAACAAAAAAGGTTCCTGGAACCCGATGGTTCCGGTAAAAAAATTTGAAAAAATTTTTTTTGAATTCCTTGTCAAATTTTAATAAATTTTGACCGTCGCAAAATTTCGATTGGAGCTTCCTAGCTCATTCTAGAGCATAACAAAGATTAATGCGAAATTCTGAAGACATCTGAAAAAAATTTAAATATGATGAATGTCTTCAGAATTTCGCATTAATCTTTGTTATGCTCTAGAATGAGCTAGGAAGCTCCAATCGAAATTTTGCGACGGTCAAAATTTATTAAAATTTGACAAGGAATTCAAAAAAAATTTTTTCAAATTTTTTTACCGGAACCATCGGGTTCCAGGAACCTTTTTTGTTAAAAATAACGTTTTTCGGCTCCAGACGCTATCGCCTTCAATTAAAAAATCTGAAAAAATTTGAGATTATGTATTTTGATGAACAAAATGAGAAAAAAATTTTTCCAGATTTTTTGAGGCTCCGTAGCGCCTTAAAAAAATTATTTTCGTGAAAAAAAGCGGTTTTTCAGCTCTAGGCTGAATGGACATGAATGAAAAATTCTGAAAAAATTCAAGGAATCGTTTTTTGACGTCAGAATTCAGAAAAAAATACTCCGGTCTGGTACATCGAACCATTTCACCGAAAATAAAATAATTTAAATTTTCAATGATTTTTTCTGAAGGCCTGAAGCACTCGAAAAATCTGAAAAAATTCAAGATTGTTTGGATTGTTGAAAAGTACCTTCATGAATTTTTTCAGATTTTTTAATAGCTTCAGGCCTTCAGAAAAAATATAGATAGAAAATGGACGTCTATAGGGGAGGAGGGGGGTAGGAGGGGGGAGGGGGTCCAAAATTTTGGTTTTGGCACTTTTTTATCATGTACTATAACATACCAAAATTTCAGGAAAATCCGTGAACCTCGCCCGCAGGTTTATTTGAAAAATTCTGAATCTGACCCATATATATGACTGATTTTGTATTTTTCAAGTGTTAATGGTGGATATGTGTTCAGATCGCAGACTATATTAGGTTTGTAAGACTGTGGTACGAAACGCCAGCTCTTGTACAATAAAAACACATTTTTTTTTGTCTTTCACATTCGTGTTGTACATGTCTGTATTATAAATAAATCTTAATTATTTTTTTCTTGTTTTCTCGTCAAAATTTATATTATGTCCAGATATAATTATTTCAACACTTGATGAGCAATATTCTCTGAAACATCTTAGTTGACGTTTTTTAATAGCTATTGTTGAATTTTGAGAAAGATCTGTTGGATCTTGCATGCACATTGGAGAATCAAATCGGAAAAGTGATACAGCCTCTTTTTTTCTCTTACTTAGGATAGCTGTAAGCTCTGCAGGTAATTCTCCAGTAGCAAACTTTTCTTTCTCTAATATAAAACCCAAATACGGACAAATAACGTACTTCTGATAATCAAATTGTGCATAAAAGGTAAAAAGTCCAATAAGATGTTCAACGAAACTAAATTGATTAGACTTTACACAAAAATTTTTGCGGTATCCACATTCCCAACCTGAAGAAATTAGTTAGTCAGTTGGTTATCAAGTTATCAATATATCGACCGCCCCTATGAAGACAATCACTCACGCGAATGCGGTCAAAAAAATCTCTCTTAGAAATCGGTGGCGAAAAAAAACTTTCTTTCAAAGAAGCGGTCAAGAAAATGACCCTAAAAAATCTGCGATCAAGAAAATCTCTTCAAAAAAAAAAAAAANCGTCATAAAAAAAAAAAAAAAAAAAACTAAAAAAAAATTTTAAAAATTAAAAAAAAAATAATAAATAAATTTTTGGAGAGATTTTCTTGACCTCATCTTCGAAAGAGAGTTTCTTTTCTCCGCAAGTTTTCAGAAGAGATTTTTTTGATCGCGCTTCACTGGAACGGTGATACTCTTTGTAGGGACGGTCGATATTCATTTTAAAAAATCACATGAACATATAATATATTACCATCAATAATCATTGAACGACATTTTATTAACTCATATACACTTGGAAATACACCTTTGAATTGCAAGTAAAAAATGACTAGCTATGATACCATAAAAGTTGAAATACCTCCTGTACCTGATAATTGTGAAAAAGTCACCCATTTTTTTAAATATAAAATAAGCTCCCTACAAATTTCATAAGCATCATTGTAGTGTCTGTGAATAATAAGATATGGGCTGAAAGTTATATTTTACATTGTATAAACAATATGAATTGCTTACCTAATAAGTTGAGATTTTCTACAAGCCAGACCGTTTAAAAAAGAAATATCACATTGATAATCAGTAGGATAATGCCGCAGTTTGATAATAGGAACCCTTGCATCATACAATACTTTTTCTATATACCATATATCTTTATGATTTTCAAAACATCCTTTCACTGATGATAAGTATTTTTTACTTGATTCAACATCAAAATTTTTGTAATACATATCACCACAATCTAAAAAAATATCTAAATCACTATTGGAGAGAGCGGTATGAGCACTTCTTGAGCCAAATTTATATGCAGTAGCAGTAGGATAAACACTTTCAACTACTTTTTCAACAGCTTTTAATAAACTTCTTTCTTTACGGCTTTCTAAAATAATAGAATCTGATTCAATTAATATTTTTTGTTTTTTATCTTCTATTTCATTTAATAGATCTAATAAGGGAGGCATCATTTCAGAAATCTTGTAGTCACCATTTCTTATGTAGAGTTTATGAAAAATATCTTCACAATGATCATAATATTTACTGACATCTCCATAAATGCATGTTGTACATGCAAAACATATATGAAACTCTAGTATGTCACCTTTTTCAATGCATTTTTCTACTTTCTTATAATGTTTTATATCTTTTAAATGTTCAACAAATTCAATTTCCATTTGAAACGTCACTTCACACACTTGACAATTAAAAAATTGAGTGTAATACCATGTATTTTTCAAGAGAGTCATGATTTTCTTAAGAGTATCACAAGTATTATTCTTTAAATCTTGGCATTTTAGCATATGATTCTGAGTTAGAGAATGTTCAAAAACCTTATACACTGCAATATCATTTTTGCAAGCATAGCAGTGAAAAAATTCATTAGTAGTTTTTAAAATATAAGGTACACCAATTAATGTTAAATTATTATCAGATATGTTGGATGAATTTTGTGGTTTCATCAGGCTACTATTTTGTTTTTGCATATTTTTAATGTGTTCTTTACCAAAAATATGTTCCATTATAACATATAATTCATTGGAAAATTGATTATTGCAGAGCAAACAGAACTGATTATCATCAATTTTAATTATGAAATTAATGTTCAAGTTTATATGAGCTAGTTTCCTGCTACTTACATTGTATATATATTTTTTACCCTGTTTAATGCAAAAGTCTATATAGTGTGTACCATTTTTTAAAATATTCTGATCAAATTTTGAAACGTTATCTGTCTGTATATTAGATGACTTTGATTCTCTTTTGAATGCAGGATAAAATTGATTTATATTTCCTTTTTTTAATTGGAGTTCATTCAAATTGTTTATAAAATCAAGCTCATGGTCTTCAGATTCTTTGCTTCTTGATGATGGTTCAAATACCTTTAATTTTTCACTTTCCTCTTCACTAGTTTTCATCTCTTTATTCATTAATTTTTCTTCACAATGGGTTTTATATGATTTTATTTCAAAAATTGGTAACTGCTCATTTAAAATTTCACAATGATTATGTTTTTCATTTATATGCGTAATAACGGATTCTATATCATCAATTTTTATTTGACATAATGAGCACTCTATAAAAATTGTGTCATTTAATTCGATCATTTTCAGGTAATTTTCATTGACAATTTTATCAAAATTTTCCATTTTTGTTTTATGTTGAATTGAGAGGTAATGAAAAAGCAAAGCAGTAATTTCAGAACCAAATGAACTATCACACAAGTAACAGGTATAAGAGATGATACTTATACTTTTTTTGATCAAATGATCACTGCACTGCATCTTATTTATAGATTTTAATCTATGATTTTTTGACAAATAATGGTCAACAATACTTAACTCATTTGGAAGAGGCTTTTCACATTTGTTACAATATTATGAATTGAAATATTTGAAAAGATCATAAATCATACTACTCTTTTTAGATTTAGATTTGTTATTTTCTCTTGGTTTACGATTTTCACTATTTAAGAAATTATTTCTTTTAACGTGTTGTGCAGACTTTATATGCTCTTCCAACTCTTCATAAGCAATGATAATATTGCAAAGAGAACACAATATTTGACTTTTTACAACTTTGATAACATCAACTGTAGTTGGATATTTAAGTATTTGGGGAAAGTGTTCCATAATATGCTCTAGAGCCACCATGGGAGTGAGGCAAAAAACGTTACATTTTCTGCAATATAAATCATTTGTAAAAACATACGTTTGAGAATTGAAAGAAGATTCATTGTGATACATTTTTTGTAGGTGATCTGGATCATTCACATGATCTGAAACGTTAGAATAGCATGGTAACGTACATTGACACAGATAGCATTCAAGCTGATTATCATCAAGATTAAAAAATATACTATTTTTTACTATTTTTTCTAATATGTCAGGAGTAGCTTCTTGACCTAGAGAATCTTTCAATTCACACTTATAAATTTTTTTCCATTTATTCCTTTCAATATGAAAAGGACTTTCTTGAAGAACCATTTTCGGAATTATCGAAATTTAGATTTTCAAATTATTGACTCATAAGGAAACTAGCATAGTGCGTGATACATCTATCCCGCCTTTTCTACGCCTTTTCTTTTTTTTCGAGAGTCACGGTTAAGCTGCTAACTTATGATCACATGAGCTTATGTATCATTCCACTTTAATCAATAAGTATTTCAATATATTTTATATTAGCTACCATGTTATCAATTATGTAAACAATAATTTAATTATTTGTAATGTATTTATATGAAATTGTTCTTTTTCCTGAATACTCGTCGAATTATATTTATTTTCATTAATATCATAGCTAAGTAGTTGATGATTTACAATTTTAGATTAACCATTGGAATCGTTCTTAAGCATTGAAGCGAATCAATATTTGTTCGTGAATCACTTTCAACTTACCTGTACTTTAATTTATTGACGAACTGGACAATTGTTCACTTTAGCGCGGCGCTCTTTATTATCCGTCAGTCTTTATTAGAAGTAAGCTAGTAGCTACCAAAACGCGGATAAACCCGATAAAATTCGAGTTAGACCGAAAAATTCCGAAAAAATGACCGAGCAGCAATTTAATTATATAAATTGAACGCGAAAAATTATTTGTTTCGTCGCGTACGGAGCTATTTAGCTGTCACTACAATACTAATTTGATACAACAAAACGTAACTCTTTTTAATGTTAAAAAAGGTGTTTGTTGCCTTGTCATTTAGTGACAGTTGATTGAAAAAAAGTTTGCGATCATATACTTTTTCTGTAAATCGGTTACAAATTAAAATCTACTTTTGTCTGAGTCTCGTTAAAACTCGTCAATAAATCGAATTGATCATTAAAAGGGTTGGGCCTATCGTGGTCGTTTCCGAAGTGCGCGACGTACCTCATAAACGTTGTAAATGAATAATAAGGAGTCGAAGTTGTCGCTCGATGCGTCACACTTATTACTAGTCTATACTACGATTTTTCGCGGAACGCGCCAACTGCGAATCGAATATACTATCCAAGAACACTTTCAACCCCTTGTGTCATAAAAGAAAACGGAAACGACGTATTGAAAATATCATGTAGCTGTTACATAGCTGCCACTGCAAACGTCGTTGGGCGATATAGTTGATCTCTTGTTGTACCATTGACATTTAATAAAGTTTTTTGTCGGCGTATTTAGATGCGCAACGCGGAATCGATGGCAGGTAATGCACCGACCGTTCAGGCTATTGAAGTAACGAGAAAATGTGTCCTCATCTCGATAAAATATGATACGGAGACGGTCGTTGCGCAGATTTCCAGTGGGCCTTGGGTCTGAATCGTCTGAGTCTGCGAATGATCGGCGTTTGGCCGGAGGCGAATCGCGATCAGCGCCACGAGGTATCGCGGCTCAGATCGATGCGCGTCCCGTTCATGATGCTCTGGCTCGTGCTGGCGATCGTGTTGCCGCAGACGTACGCCCTGGCGCAGGTCTATCGTCACCTCGACCTCGTCGTCGACAATCTCATTACCAACAGCGCCGCCCTCACCTCCGTCATCAAGCTCTTCTTGCTCTGGAAGAATCGTTACGGTGAGCCTCGCGACTCGTATGCTGCGTGCGGTGATTTTTCTCGGCCAGCCGCGCTATGTCTATACGGGTTATACTTGCAGTGCTGGAACCAGCCATCAGGGCGACCGAAGACGACTGGTCGAGCGTCAACGGCAACAACGAGACGACGGCCCGCAACCGCTTCGAGTTGGAATCAATGACGCGACAGGCCAATCGAGCCCGAATCTTCACCGTGAGCGGCTACGTCATCATGTTCGGCTGCTTCGCCGGCTTCGTGTTCACGCCTCTCTTCGGCATCGGCATACGCGTCGTCAACAACATCACCGATCCTCTGGACGGACGTTTCTTCCCGCTGCAGACCTATTACCCCTACGACATCGCGTCCTTTCCGCTGTACGAGCTGACGTACGCGTCGCAGCTTCTCGCGGCCAGCTTCGTCGGCATCGCCTTCTCGGTGCCGGACAACTTTTTCGGCGCCCTCGTCTTTCACGCCTGCGCCCAGTGCGAGATTCTCAACGCGCTACTACGCGAGGTCGAGCAAATCGCCGATTACTGCACCTTGGATCTCGTCGAGAAGGAGGGAGAAAGATTTCATCGGCATTTGAGAGATTTCGTTCGGAGACACGTACAGATCATCGGGTAAATTGATGCTCTTTGATTCAATTTCATTGACAGGATTGCTGAAATCATAAACATTTCAGCTTTAATAGTACATGTTTATGTTATCAATCATTTATGAAAAACACCAATAAATGTAACCAATAAAAATATACTTGTCCATCCAAAACAGATTCGTCGACTCGATAGAACAATCGTTCAACGTTCTCGTTCTAGTTCAAGTGTTATGCCTCTCGGTCGTCGCTTGTTTTCTAGCTTTCGGTGTGATACAAGTACGTTACGGCGCCTTTTTGACAATTATATCTCTATGAACTTGCGAATCAGAAATGTTTGAATAAATCTGAATTCGAACCTTCGATCCCTGAACAGTCGATTCGTAGCGACGACGTCAATGGTCTGGCCATCGTTCAGGTCGTCACGCTGGTAGCGACTTTGTTGAATCTCATGATTCACACCTTCGTGTATTGCGTCGCTTGCGAATTGCTGGCGCAACATGTAAGTCACAATATCTCTCAATGATGCTTATTTCTCATGCTGAAGAACTTCATTACGTTAATTTTCAATCTCTAACAGAGTATGAGCTTTTTTCACACGGTTTATAACTTCAACTGGTTTTGTTTGAGGGCGAAACACTCGCGACCCTTACTAATCGTGTCGATGAGAACGAGGCACCATCTGAAATTGACAGCCGGCAAATTTTTCGACTTGTCACTTCACGCTTACATGAAAGTAAGTAACAAATAATAAAGAAGAGGTTTCTACTTTGGGTGAAGGATTTATATCTAATTTGGGTGAGGAAATATAAAGTTAAGACACCATAGTGTGATATCAATAAAAGACCACAGGTGAACACGAATTCAGTGCAAAATTTTTTCAGTGTAGAGAAAAGCAGTTCGTGAGAGGCTAATTCTTATTTCCACAGTGCTTACGAAAAAAATCTCTTTTTTAAAGCTGCAGCATGATAGTTTCTGATGTTAGAATTACCCCGCTTTTTTAGATCAAGTCATTACAAGTTTTTAAAAAAGTTCGAATCGAAGGAGTGATTTTTCTCTCCGCATTTTGAAAAAAAGAGAATTTCTGCGCTACAGAAATTTGTCTGCATTTAAAAAAGAGATAGTCTTCGTATAAGCCCCGTCGATTTATTGATCGTTATTTTTAAAATACCCAAAACTTAGTTAATGCGTTCATTTTGATTCTTCTCACCCCATAAATAAAACATTCCGATATTCTTTGTTTTTTACGTACCTTCAAAATATTCCACATAACATTATTTTTTCTTATTCTTTTTAGATACTGAAAAATACTGCAGGATATATTTCTGTACTGTTGGCAGTCAGTAGCACTTGAAGCAATACAAATGAAAGAGAACAAGATCGATACACCTTTCAACGAGCTTTATATACTTGTTGAATTTTAATTGACTATTTTAGACGATTAAATAGAAATGTCACACGCTTATTTCAGGTTACTCTTTTTTTCTGGAATTTTCACAATATCGAAATCTAGAATATTTAAAAATAGAAGTCAACTTGAGAATATGAAGTGAATTGCGTTTTGCAACAAAAATAAAAAAAAAGGCGAAGAGGCGCTTATTAAGATCATAAAGAATGTAGTCGAAATTGCTGCAGACAACAACTCAAGTAGGTGCGCGAGTCGTTCTCCGTACTCGCCTTGTTTTATTTATACCGAGATTCTAGCTACCTCGTTTGTCGCGCGTTGTACATCGTTTTATTCGAAGCAATAATCCGAATCTTAGAAATTTTCACTGGCCAATATAGTAAACTGCAGAGATGAGTAACGCGAGTAAAGTACCCAAGATATCGAGTTGCATCATGTCGAATGCAAAAATTGATCGCGTAAAATCTGCTTCGATGAGTAGTACGAGCGATTTCGACTGGGCCTTCGGCCTGAATCGCTGGAGCTTCTGTCTCATCGGTCTGTGGCTGAACAAAGACGACAGGATCGATCCAGGCAAGGATTGGCAGATCATTTGCACGGCTCTGATGGTGCTGACCGGATTCGTCGGGCCAGAGCTCTTCGCGCTCTACAAGGTGCTGGACAATTTCACCCTGATCATCGACAACATCTGCATCAGCGCGCCGAGTTTGGCAGCCCTCGTTCAGCTGCTGATTTTGCGAAACAATCGAGAAGGTAATGTAATAATGTAAAAAGTAAATTGTTCAATTGGTGACGTGTAATTGATAGATGTGTGATTCACAATATAGCTAAGACTGATTGATTTATATTAATCTGAATTAATTTTATTTTCTCTCTCTTTTTCAAGTGGAACTTTTTTAGGCGCGTTGAGTAGGAGATGTTCGTTCACTCGTAAAAAATAAGCGAGCAAGCGCGAATTATAGGAAATGTATAGACTTCTCAAAGACAGAGCCTTTCGCTCGCGGCGATTGGTTGGCGCTCCCCAATACTGTGCACTCATTCGCTTCTGAGCATTGCACGCGCGACTATAGTCTACTCGTCGCTTATGACTTTGTAACCGTCGCTCTCGCTCGCTGTAGCCTGTTCGTGCGGGTTGATCGGTCAAACAACACAACACGATACGTTACAAAGTGTACGAGACGGAGCAAGTGGTTTTTGTGAAAAAAGTGCAATATTACATCTTGATTTGTGAACGATTTCAAAGATATGGATAACGACGGACAAGAAGATTTTTTAAAACTGAAAAGAATGCGTGAAAAGATCAATTGGGACATCAAAAAAGAGCGAGTTGAACTTCTTTCTCAAATTCACGTTCTTATAAGCGATTGGAAAGGCCAACTTCCTAATCTCCGAGACATTTTTTGGCCAGAAGAAATTGATGATCTTCTCTCCGAATCTACAAAAGACATTAATCGATATCGTGATACCCCAGGACATCGATTCATCAAGTTTGTGGCTCGCACCGGCTACAAGAACGAGCCTGACATTGGTAAAGATGGCAAGCCATTGTTGCGTCGAACGACACCGGTGCATAGAGCGGCTAGATGCAGGTTCGTCGGTGTTGTCGAATGTCTATTCGAAATTTATGATAGATTTGACGTGAACTACACCGACGAAGTTGGATTTACTCATTTTCATGTAGCCTGCGCGCACAATTGTCATTACGTTGTCGAGAAATTTCTCGAACTCGGGCAAGATCCCGATTGCCCCGGATACATAATGGGTGATTCGCCTTTACACATGGCTATAGTCTATTGGGCAAAAGAAGCAATCGTTCTGCTACTGAGAAACGGCGCAGATAAAAATTTAACCAACGCAGAAGGCTCAACGCCATTGCACATTCTTTGCGAGGACGCGATCGCCAATGATGACTTGGCGGAGCTATTTTTCGAGGTCGATGGTATCCAGAAGACGGTGCAGGTTAATGCCCAGGATAAGTTAGGCAACACACCGTTGCACTTGGCTGCGGCATCAGGCAAGAAGCACACAGTCGAATCATTGCTGAGGAATGGCTCAGATCCGAATTTAACCAATGCAGCAGGATCAACAGCTCTGCACGTGATTTGCAAGCGAAGCTGGTGCGAGTCTGTGGTGGAGATATTTTTCAAAGTCAACAAAGAAGTCAATCAGCTGGTACAGGTCGACGCCCGAGACAGAAACGATCGGACTCCGCTTCAGTTAGCTGTGGCAAATATATTGCCGCACGAAGTAGATGCACTCTTGGATAATGGTGCCGATCTATCCAGTTTCGTTTTTCCCACTTGGAGTTATTTCGCCGAAAAAGTAAGAGAGCAGAATTGGGAAGAAACGCTTGAGTTTAAATGGCGAGTAGCGTCTAGTGTTCTGGCCATCGTTAATAGTCTCGAGAGGAGAGGATACGAACTGGATCGAAACAACGTCTTCATGTTCATGGCATTGTTCGCTCGTTACGGATTGTTTGAGACGTCGACGGGTCTTGATAAATCTTCTTGGTATGAAGACGAATTCTTTATGAGTGAAGCGAAAAAGCACAGGGTGGCTGCGGGTCCTTCGTTCTACGATCTGATCCAGTTACGACCCGAAGAGGCAGAAAAAATACTCATATCTAAGGACTACATCAAGTTCAAAAGCGATCCAGATTCAAGCCGTGGCTATTGGCTAATTGACACTAGTTTTATGCATCTCATCGAAATGATGTCGAGAAGATTTTTCCGGAGATGGGCACTGCATCTTTTCTTCGAGCTGACGGGCTACCAGCTGCCGATTCTCTGTTGTAAAATAATTATCGATCAGCTAAAAAACGCAGATTTATATCATATTTGCTTTGCAGCTGTAGACCAAAGCTTGCATACGTGATAAGCGTATTTGTCCTACTTTTTTCATGTCCGATGCTGTTAAATGTAATCGATTTTCTAAACTATTCTGATTTGAAATAAATTTAAAAAAAAAGTTGTTTTGTTTGTTTATTATATGTTATTTTCAATGGCTACCACGAATTTAGCACCAATGGACTTGCAAATAGGCCAGTCAACGATTTTTTTTCCATATTTGGCCTCGACTGATCAAATACTGAATCATCCAACATACATAAATGAAATCCAATCGCACTCTGTTTTTTCGTTCCAATACACACTCTGTTTTTTCGTCTCTTTTATAATTATTACATCGCGATCGGCAGTGCACGGCAGACTTTTGAGGGTGGCCAAGTCCGACTGGCAGCGAGGCAGATCGGACCGCGAGCGCGACATCATGCTCAGGCAGGCGCGCAAAGGCCGCCTCTTCACCATGATCAGTTACGCGATGCTGTTCTCGAGCGTACTGTCGGTCGTCGTGGTCATGCCCGTCTTCGGCCTGTCCTTTCGCCAGATCAACAACGTCACGGATCCGCACCCGAGCCACCTGTTCCCAGTGCAGAGCCTGTACCCGGACAAGGCCTACGAGACGCCGTACTATCAGCTTACGTGGACGCTGCACACGCTCGCCTCACTGGCCGCCTCCTCGTACTTCTGCACGTCCAACAACTTTTTCGGCGTCGTCGTTTTTCACGCGAGCGCCCAGTGCGAGATTCTCGCTTTGAATGTCAGCGAGATCGCGCTCGAACGGGACTGTTTTCAACGGCGTCTCCGGGACTTCGTCAAAGATCACGTGCGGCTCATTAGGTAGTTGCGCGTTTCGATAGTCGATTTGTATAACGCATCGGATCTAATTTGTTTTTTTTTTCTAGATTCGTCGCCGATATAGAGAGCAATTTCAACATGATAATTTTGGCACAAGTGCTGACTCTGATACTTACAATTTGCTGCTCGAGCTTTGGAGTATTGGCTGTAAAATGACTTTTAATAACACCTTTTTTTACCCCTCGACGCATCGAAGTTATTTAATTTTGGAATTCCTCATCTAGACTTTTATCAAAAACGAAGGTCAACCCAGTGCTGCGCAATTGATGGCTCTGATTGCATTGTGCTTGACAACCATGTTCATCATGTTTCTCTACTGCTTTCCTAGTGAACTGCTCATTCAATGCGTAATTACTGAATGGAATAACTATCATTATACGATACGTAAAAACGTACATCGACTTACCTCGATGAACATTTTCTGCAGAACTCCGAGCTAGCGACGGCTACGTTTCAATCCAATTGGCACTCGTTGCCAAGCTACCTGTCACGCGACATGGTGATGATAATGATGCTGCTCCGATCCAAGGTTCTCTTCAAGCTGTCCATTGGCAAATTCATATATCTGTCACTGAATACTTACATAAAGGTAAAAAGTACAATATCAGTTTATTTGTTGTACAACGATCGTGACGATCGGCGCTCGCTTTTGCTCCGCAGATAATAAAAACCAGCTTCGGTTACATGTCCGTGTTGCTGGCAGTCTACAACTGAATCGATTCTTAATGTACACGCTTCTCGTCGATGACCTACTTAATTGTACTAGCACCAAAAATTAACTACACTAATTAACTAGTGTAATTAACCTTAATTGCACTAGCCTTTTTGTGAAAAATTCAACCACTGAAAATTGTACGTGAAATATTTTCGATATATCTCTGCGTTGCACCGCCATGTAATTCTTAAGAATTGTTACGTAAAGAGAAATATACTATCTTGTGGAGTGAAACATGTCAACGAGAAAAAAATGTATAATGTACGAAAGAAATAAATAGAATTTAACGAAAGACTTGGTAGCATGTCGTCGAAATCAATAATGCACGAACGAAAAGTTTGCGCGACGCCTTCGCTTTGCTAATCGAATTCTCAACCCCTTCTCGCCTGCATCAAGTGTCGCGTCGATACTTGCTCAGTACTTTTTGCTCACCTTTTATTGCGCAGCAAACGATAATAGTTATACACTCGTTTAGCGCCTGCTGAATATTCATCAGTCCTACAAAATTTTCAAGTTGATTAAATGTCGAACCAGATTTGGGTGTTGATTTCGGATTCGATTTGATATATCGGAAGAACGAGAATGAAAAAGTCGAGCATGCATAGCAATATGCAGGGTATGTACTTGACGGTTCAATAATTAAGGTCTAAAATAAAATATACTCCCTCCGCACTGGCAAAATGTCAACAGATTACGTTTGGGCCTTGGGTCTCAATCGGCTGAGTCTCAGATTGATGGGCGTCTGGCCCGCGGACACCGACGGCAATGACGCGACTCTGAGTCGCTTCAGAGTCCCGATCATGATATCGGTCATGTTTTTCAATATTTTTCTGCCTCAAATGTACGCGTTGGCTTTGGTGTTGAACGAGTTGCCGCTGGTGATCGACAATCTGATGACGAGCTCCGCGGCACTCGCCTCGTGCTTCAAGCTCTTCTTCTTGTGGAAGGCCAAAAATGGTACAAAATTTTCACTCTCGCCTTTTCTCGTGACCGATTTTTCCGTGTTTCATGAATTTATCCAACCCTTCGCGCGCGCGAAGTCATGAATCCGGTAGTGGAGTCCATGAGGCAAGACTGGCTGCAAACGAGGCAGGACTGGAGCTCGAAAATCATGCGGAGCGCAGCCGTCAAAGGCCGTATCTTCGCGATGAGCGGCTACCTCATCATAGTCGGCTGCTACTGCGGCTTCGCCGTCTCCCCGTTTCTCGGCTTCAACATACGCATGATTAGCAACATCACCGATTACGGCGATCGCCACATGCTCGTCCAGTCCTACTATCCGTACGACTACTCCAAGAGTCCGATTTTCGAGCTGACCTTCGGCAGCCAATTGGTGGCCGGCATCTTCATCGGCATGTCGGTGTCCGTGCCCGACAATTACTTCGCCGCGCTGGTGTTCCATTACAGCGCCCAGTTCGAGATTCTCGGCGCACGGGTCGAACAACTGATTCGCGACGACTGCTCTCTCGACGCTGAGAGTCACTTTTTCAGCGAAAATTGGCCACGGCTGGTTGACAGGCACGTCCATCTGATGACGTGAGTTTTATCGTAAATCATCGGAATATTAGACACAGTCTCTTTTGGAATTGATTCATTTTTCTTCGGATTGCAGAATGGTTTCTGCGATCGAACAGTCTTTCACATTTATAAATTTAGGCCAAATATTGTGCATGTCCTGCATGGTCTGTTGCTTAGGATTCGAGTTGAGCGTAAGTTCAAATGTATAAGGTTCGATTAACTTGCAATTCACTTATGGTTCTGATGTACAGATTTTTTCCGGCGGAGAATACAAGCCGTCGGCATTGCAAATACTCACGCTAGTTGGAACTTTAATCATGATGATGTCGCATACTCTGGTCGATTGCATTGCCTGCGAATTACTAGCCTCCAATGTAAAAATGTTTACCGTATACAATTACGACACACCGAAAATGAATGTATTTTTCCCCTCTTCCACAGAGTTCTGGAGTATTCCATCATATATCAAGTGGTTTGGGCTCGAACATCACTCGACGAAAAATCAAAGATATCATTCCGATGTTAATGACGTCAAAGAAACCTCGTAAACTCACTGCGGGCAAAATGTTTAATTTAAACTTGGCTAGTTATTGCAGCGTGAGTTTTTTTACATTAAAAAAGCATAGTTTGATTGATTTTATGTAACTTAAACATGTATTTCCCAATGGTAGATTTTGAAATCTATCGCAGGCTACATATCGATGTTGATCGCTGTCAATCAAAGATAGACGTTGATACGAGAATTTAGACATAACTTTTTTAATGGCACAATTTTTAGTATGGTTCGCAATATTTTATGTAATAAAGTAATTATTAATGAAGCATTATCAAAGTGAAATTATTGCTCTGTGGAATCAAAAAATGAATATTCCTCATTTCGGCAAACAATCTTTTTTTATGGATCTCAAACAACTTGTTCAAAATTGTACGATAAAATTTCAACTTCAAGATCACATGAAAAAAAAATTTTCTACTTTTTCCATAGAATTGATGCAACAAAATTTTGTAAAAAAAAGTATTAGGAATTTCATTTCTGGCAGTAGTTGCATTGTTATTCTTTGTGATTCATTTTCAATAATGTTAAAACAATGCTAAAAAATTTTAAAAAATATTTTTTTTTAATTTTACCTTAATTTCTAGTTTTCCCTATAACACAAAATTTCACATCGTTATCAACGGACATCGAGAACTTAATGTTCTTCCAATTTTAGTAAGTTCGAGATTGACAAACAGTGAGTAAGTAACAAAGGTGTAAAAAATGTACGACTCTGCAGTCTATAGATCTATTACAAGCACATCAAAGACTTTAATTGGATTATGACATCGAAAATTCACTTTGCGCATCAGTCGGTATTATAAGGGTACCTTCCTATGAATTTATTGAAAAATTAGCTGCTTCACGAGGAACAAAGGGCGAAAATGTTTCTTACAGATTTGGTAATAAGGAAAGATAAAAATGAAGTTTGACGAATCAATGATCAACGTCGAATCAACCGGTCTCAAAGGTATATATTAAATTCTGGGCTATATTATGTTTTGATTAAAACTTTATTAAAAAAAAAAAAACTCAATAATACTTGTCTCAATTTAATAGATTACAACTGGGCCGTGGGCCTGAATCGTTGGAGCTTGCGACTGATGGGTATCTGGCCTGGGGAAAAGCAACAATATCTACGAGTGCCCTTCATGATCGGCATAATCTTTTTCTGCCTCTTCTTGCCGCAAATGTACGCCTTGGCACTGGTCATGGAGCATTTACCGCTCGTGATCGACAATCTTCTTACGAGCTGTGCCGCGCTGACCTCCTGCTTCAAGCTTCTATTTTTTTGGCAAAACAGACAAGGTAAATCCATATATAACATTCGAACGCAGAAAATATAGCTTATATAAGTGCCTGCGTACGGCAACGACTGTTCAAGTCCTGGATCTGGTAATCGAGTCAATGAGGAAAGACTGGCTGCGAGGCTGCAAGGACCAGCGGACCCGCAAAACGATGCTGAAAGCAGCCTCGCGGGCGCGCCTCATCACCACTCTGGATTACAGCGTCATGGCCAGCTGCTACGCCGGCTTCGTCGTCGCTCCCCTGCTGGGTTTCGATCTGCGCACCAGCAACAACATCACCGATTATCCGCCCGGTGGTCGCAAGCTCCTCGTCCAGTCCTACTATCCCTTCGATTACTCAGCCAGTCCGACTTTCGAGCTGGCCTACTTCCTGCAGCTCGTGGGCAGTTTTTTCGTCGGTATGGCCGTGTCAATTCCCGACGATTATTTCGGCGCGTTGATACTTCACGCGAGCGCCCAGTTCAACGTTCTCGCCGCTCGGATCGATGGACTCATCGACGAGGTAACGACGACGCGTGACTGCAGGGGACCCGCTGCGGTCGCCGATCGCAGCGATTCGAGCACGATCAATCGGCGACTGGGACGGCTCGTCGATCGACACGTGCATCTGTACTCGTGAGTCATATTTCTTTTGCTAACGCAATTATTCCTTCATGTATCCTAGCTTTTTTTACCTCGCACAGAATGGTACTGGCCATCGAGAAATCGTTCAGCTTGGTGCTCGCGGGACAGATATTCTGTATGTCGGTAATGGTCTGTTGTCTTGGTTTCCAAATACTCAGCGTGAGTATTGCGACCTCGATAATAATTACAACTTGTAATTGCGTGTAACGAGTTTATGTTTGTCTGATGTACGTCGCACAGGTGCTGAATAACATGAGCGACAAACCTACACCGCTTCAAATGGTCACACTGATAGGTACGCTTTTTACCATGATGCTGCATACACTGATCGACTGCCTTGCCAGCGAGGCATTAGCGTCTCAAGTACGTGATCGAGATCGCTTTTTTTTCTTTTTTTTTTTTAAATCGGATTTTCAGCTTATATTATAGTAGTATATAATGAAAATGTTACTTTCCTCTTTTCTTTCTCAGAGCACCGAAATATTTTACAGAATTTGCAATAGCCGTTGGTACGAGTTGCCGTACAAAAGCATGCGCTGCCTCGTACCCATGATGCTAGTGTCTAAGACGCCGAGGCAAATTAAAACAGGAAAAATTATCAATATGTCCTTAGCCACCTACTGCAGTGTAACGTATTATATAAAACTGACTAGTACGCTAAATTGTTTCAAGATTAATTCAAAAGATTACTGACATTTTGCAGATTATAAAATCGACTGCTGGATACATATCTGTTCTCATTGCTGTAAGTGTAAAATAAATAAAAGGTTGACTTTCTCACTTCACTTAGTAAAACCCAAATGAATAATAATAAAAACAATTATTTATTGCAAAATAAAACTATACTATATAAATAATATATTATAATAAACATTCAATGTTATTAGATAAAATGAATTCCTTCACTATTAAATGCCGCTAAAACTCTGAAACAGAAAAAATGTATCATAAGTTTCTTATATAAATTTAGTCAAGTCAGAATTTAGATTATAAAAAATATTTACTTAATAAAGTCATCAACATCCATCGTTCGGGCACGCATTTCAGCTATATCATATTTCTCTAAGATATCATCTACCTTTTCTTTTATGTTAAAATTATCTGGTAAAGGCTGTACAGGTAAGAGTTGATTATTAGACTTTTTAATTTAAAATTTTTTATAGCAAAAGTTGAATAAACTATACTCACAATTTTATTAATACTACAATGAGCTAAATAATTTTTTTTTATTGTCATCAATACTGCTGTTTGTTTAAAAGCAGCAGACAAGCTTTTGTTTTTTCTAACAAAAAGTATTCTTGTCATTCCATCCCATTCTTGATAATTAATGTTTGGTTGCGGATTTCTTGGTTCTATTCTCACAACACAAGAATCAACCTTTGGTGGAGGTCTAAAATTATTTTTTCCAACTTTCATTAACATATCGACTCTAGCTAACAATTGTGTGTTCACACTAAGTCTACTGTAATCTTTATCTCCTGGCTTGGCGACCAACCTGTCAGCAAATTCTTTTTGAAACATAAGAACTGCACACCTAAAAAACATTAATAAAAAAAATTAAAAAAGAATTAAAAAATTTTTGAGTCAAAAATATTTGAAAAATTATAAAACAACTTACCTAAATATTGGCCTGTGCAATAAGAGTTTGAACACTAAAGGAGAAGAAATTTGGTATGGTACATTGGCAATACACAAATCAAAGAAGGGGAATTCTGATTTGATAACATCGCCAATTAAAATTTCTAATTTTTGTTGCATAGGGGTACCCATCACACGCTTTTGTAATTCAGCCACCATTCTTGGATCAATTTCACAGGCGATAACTCTTTTAGCTTTTTCCAACATTTTTACAGTCATATTTCCAGTACCAGGGCCAACCTCCAAAATAACATCCGTTGGTCTGACAGCAGCTTTTTCTATGATACCCTGGATAATAAGAGGATTTTTCAAGATATGTTGACCAAAATCCTTGTTGAAATGTACACCTACAAAAGAAAAAGAAAAAAATAGAATCAAGTAAGATAACTTTTTGTGGACGAGATTTGAGATAGTAACTTGAATGATGATTATGAACGTACCTTGACGGAAAACTTGCTGCTCCTTTACTGCCCGTTGCTGGTGAATACTTTTTTCCCTTAAAACTTTCGGCATGTTGACTGTTGACACAACAATGTGCAGAAAAAAATGGAACGAGCAAAAAAATTTTCTTCAAAGTCAACAAAACAATGCGACTGACAACACACGTGGTCCCGTCTGGTCGATCTCGACTCTCGCTCGCCGGGCTGCGAGAAATATAATTGTAGATGGCGTTAGCCGCTAGACTGAGTCGGCTAATCGGCTCACTTGTCGCCACTCGCCACGCCAGCAGCAGGCAGCAGCAGTGAGCAGTGTCGTCCAAAATTCGACACAAGTCGAGCCAGTCGTGTTTACAACTTTCAAAGAGTTTGTTGGTGTATGCAGCAATACACATAACCTGTATAAAACGATTTGCGGTCTGTAAACAAACTGTGTTTTGACAATTCTGTTTTTTGGAATTGTTTAATTTTTTTATGATCTAGAATTTTTTCGATATCATTATCGAACAATGAGTAAAAAAAGCGGCATTGGCTTCGGTAAAATCAGTTTTAAATTGAATACCAAGGACAAGCCGGAATCTAAGCCGTCTGAAGAAGAGCCAGTTCAAGGATTTGGTACATTTGGTAAAGCACCAAAAGAGAAAAATGCTCAAGCTATCCAAGAAATTAACCCTGAAGACGAAGCTGAAACTCTACAACTGCAGGAAGTAATGGGATTGTCATCATTCGGGAAAAAAGATGCCCCCAAACCAAATGAAGATCACATCCATGAGGTAAGCATTTGAATAATGTCCATGCGTGTAAGAGTAAACAAGTCCTTAGTTTTGAGCATTATGCATAATATTATAAAATAAAAATGAATAATCTTAAGGGTCTCCTAAAGTTAATTACAAATTTTGAAGTGGATTGATTCATTATTCATTGAGAAAAATGAGGACAAAATAATTTAGTACTGAATACAGATTAAGTGTGTATGCTTGCCCCTTAACACCTATTAAATTTTTTATAACCAACTTTACTGCACCTAAAAAATAGCACCTCTAGGCTTTTTTGTTTTATAAAATACTGTGTGTAATATATGCAAATAGGCTTTCAACAAAATCTGAGATAGCTGTAAAAATCAAGAGTTTTGCACAAACAGCGTGTTAACATATTATATTGTACAAATGACTATTATAAATAGTAGATACTGTAAGAGTAGATGCCAGTTTCTTTTTATAAAATGAATAATTATCTAATACATTTTATTTATTTGTTTTTTAGAAAATGAAATCGACTGCTAATCGAAAAGCAAGAACTTTTGATGTCTTGGAAATGGTAGAAACTATAAAGAAAAATGTAACAATTACCAAACCAATAGAAGAAGCAGCAGCTGGTCCATCAGAGGAAAAAGAAGATGATAGCGATGATGATTTTATTGGGCCTCCAATTCCTTCTTCTTTATCTTCTACAGAAGTGACACAAAATGATGATAAAAACAAAGCTCCAAGCAGTTCAAATAACACAACAAAAAAATCTGGAAATAAAAGTAGTGATGATGACGATGATGATGATTCAAATGAAGACGACAAGGAAGATGAAGATCTTATTAAGAGGATACCATGTACTCATCAAGTTTCAATGAAACATGGTACTAAAGCTGTAACAGCGATAGCTGCTGATCCTTCTGGTGCTCGATTGGCTTCTGGTTCTGTAGATTATGAGCTTTCATTTTGGGATTTTGGTGGAATGGACGCTTCTATGAGGAGTTTCAGAACTTTACAACCTTGTGAAAATCATCCAATCAAGTGCCTACAATACTCAAATACAGGTGACGTAATTTTAGTGATTTCAGGATCTGCCCAAGCCAAAGTTTTGGATAGAGATGGATTTGAAAAGTATGAGACGGTAAAGGGAGATCAATATATTAATGATCAATCTAGAACTAAGGGCCACACAGCTTATTTAAATTCTGGAATGTGGCATCCATTTACAAAAGAAGAATATATAACAACTTCACAAGATTCTACTTGTAGAGTATGGATCATGTACAGACCCAAAGGTCATAAAGCACTTATTAAGTGTAAAAATCAGAGAGGTATAAAAACCGTTCCTACAAGCTGCTCTTACAGTAGAGAAGGCACAGTTATTGCACTTGGATGTACAGATGGTTCTATTCAAATGTGGGACAATAGAAAAGCGTTTGTAAATCCATCATTGATCAACAGAACAGCACATGGAGAACATCAAGAAATATCAAGTTTACATTTTTCTTATCTGGGACAAATGCTCTCATCTAGAAGTTGCGATGACACATTGAAACTTTGGGATCTAAGACAGTTCAAAAGTCCATTATTCACTGCCTCAAATCTATATTCTAGATACGAGTCTACGGACTGTATGTTTAGTCCCGATGATTCCATGGTAGTCACTGGTGAGTCATTAGCCAGAGGACAAACTGCCGGAAAAGTATTATTTTACGATACGAAAACGTTCGATCGCGTCCACGAAATCGAAGTCACCGATTCGCACGTGATAAAAACTCTGTGGCACCCAAAGTTGAACCAAATCTTCGTTGGCTGTGGCAATGGTGTTATAATGACGTATTATGACATCAAAAAGAGTTTGAGGGGAGCCAAATTGTGCGCCGTGAAGCAAAAGCACAAGAAAAAGAATGTGGAGATCATGTTGACTCAGCAAATCATCACACCACACGCTTTGCCACTATTCAGGCAAGACAGACCCAAGTCAGTTCGCAAGCAAATGGAGAAGGATCGCCAGGATCCGTTGAAATCGCACAGGCCAGATCTACCGATTACCTCGGGTCAGGGTGGAAGAGTCGCATCCTCGGGCGCTACGCTCAGCTCATACGTCATACGTAATCTCGGTTTGAGCAAGAGAGTCGAAGATGATCAAAATCCCCGTGACGCCATTCTGAAATATGCTAAAATAGCCGAAGAAGATCCCTACTGGATAACGCCAGCGTACAAAAAAAATCAGCCCCAGCAGATATTCCAGGAAGAGGGTGAGGACGACAATGACGAACCGTCGAATAAAAAGCAAAAAACGAACTAGATACAGTTCAGAGAAGTGCGCTTGTAAATATCTTGTAGATAAATGGTTCCTTAGTTTTTAAGACAAGAAAACTTTTTGTAAATAAATATAATTAAAATACTAACTTCCAAATTTATTTGTTTTTTTCTTCTCCTATCTTTATCTGAATAACAGCCTCCATTATATTGCATTATAATTCAATTTTAAAAAGTACTTTTTGTGAAGTTCAGAAAAAAATGTGAAAGTAACTTTTTAATCTCCTTGATCTGTTTTTATGGATTAAAATCATTAAAAAATAAATTATCGTTTTTAAATGTTTACTATTTAGTACAAAATCGTGTGAGTCAAAATCTTATATACCTCACAGAATAAGTCCAAGTTTGAAAATCCGTCGCCAACTTCGTTTGGCTTTACCGCCGCTTGGCGTCTCTGACGTGTCAGAATATCTGGTGTTTGCCGTGTGTGGCTTGAGGCTTCTGCATTCTAGCCGTTGTCCATGTGGTATTGAAACACATAGTTAATTTAAACAATTGTGTTTAATAAATACTGTCAAAAATGGCTCTTAATCTTTCAGTGAAGGTTCACCCAGGGGTTTTATTTATTATTGTCGATTCTTACGAGCGTCGTGGTGCTGAAGCCAACAGAGTTATTGGCACACTTCTTGGTAAATATGAAAACTTCATTTTAAGGTTGAGGTCTTATGTACATTAGTGGCCGTTTGATTCATTTCATTATTATTTTTTGTCTTTGAGCGCAGTTTTGTCAATTTCACATTATTATACTACCTCTCTGTGACTTATCAAATGATTTGGACCTAACCCTCGATATCTTGACTAGGAGCATCAAAAATCGCACAAGCCGCTATCTGCATTAAAAACACAATCTGCAGTAACAAACCGAATCAAACGTTCACTAGTATATTAAAAGCTTAGTTTGGGTGTATGACTAGTTAATAGTTATTTATTACTTTTATTACTAGTTGATTACTAGTTGATATTTATTGTTTATTGATGGATCATTTGCTATTGCAGGTACTGTAGAAAAAGGAGTCGTGGAAGTAACCAACTGTTTCTGTGTACCTCATAAAGAATATGAAGACCAAGTTGATGCTGAGCTTAACTATGCTATGGATCTTTATGAGCTCAATCGTAAAGTCAATACACAAGAAAGCATTGTTGGTTGGTGGGCAACTGGTAATGAGGTAAATTATTAATATCTATTCTATTAATTGATTGACATTGGTACTATGGCAGCTCATACTTATTATTTATTAGGTGACAAATCATTCCTTTGTTATTCATGAGTATTATGCTCGTGAATGCACGAATCCTATTCATTTGACTGTTGACACAACCCTAGAGGGTACAACTAGAATGGGAATCAAAGCTTACGTTAATGTCAAGCTAGGCGTTCCTGGTGGAAAAACTGGATCCATGTTTACCCCAGCTAAAGTACAGGTAAGTTATCATTTACAAATGATGCAGATTACTTAAAATTTATTCAATAAGATAATTTTAATTTAAATTATTTTTATGTGTTCATTAGATTCAATGCTATGATCCAGAAGTTGTCGGTCTGCAGTTGTGCAACAAGACTCTTGCCAAAGTACAAGGCTCCAAACAAGGCGCTGGAGTTGTTGAACCTATGATGGATTTGGCTCAGATTGCTGAAGCTAGCTCAAAGTTAGTTACCATGCTTGATAGCGTACTGCAGTACGTAGATGATGTTTTATCTGGAAAACAACAACCTGATAATCAGGTAAAAACTAAATTTACTTTAAATAATTATTTTTTCATCCCTCATCTAGAAATTTTCACTTACAAACATTTTATTTAACTTTCTAGGTTGGAAGAGCTCTCTTGGATATGGTAAACTCTGTACCCAAGATGACTACTGAACAATTTGACAGCATGTTCAATAGTAACATCAAAGATTTGCTCATGGTTGTGGCACTTTCTCAACTCATTAAGACACAACTTCAGCTTAATGAAAAACTTACGTTGCTCACAACTTTGTAAATGTAAAGAAGCAATTTGATGAAAAAATTTGATGATCTTTATAGGAACTTTTTAATAAAAATTTTTAAAAAATTTCTATTAGATTATAGACCTATAATGTTTATTATTTTTATAAATAGTATACACCACAAAAAGTATGGTAAAAATATTAATTAAAAAAGGCAGTTTGGTTAGAAAAATTTACAAGCCATAATTGCCATTAATTAAATAAATTGCTTATAATAGATAAAATAACAAAAAGTTTTGAGTAAATTTAATATTCAATGTTTTCACCATCATCTTTTCTATTATCTATCAAACAAACCCAGTCAGGCACATGATTGGTCTCAAGATAAGCTTCTTTAGAAAGGCATCGTGAGGGTAAATCAGCAGCTATTCCAAAAATCGCACCACCAAGCCAAGCAGTATAGTTAGGTTTACTTGGTGCAGTATGAAATTTGAATTTTCTGAGAGTTAATTTTTCCGAGTATGGTTCACTATTAACTATATTCTCCAATTCAGATTTTAATCTAGTTATAAAGCCTGTGGTCATGACTGTTCCACCAATTAATAAAATGTTTTCAGCTAATGGTTTTCTTGCATCAATTGGACACTAAAATTTAAATTATATGAGATTAGATTATTGAGTATTATATTGATATAATTGAAATTGATATTAAAATAAATTTACTTTTATTATGGAATCTAAAATCATGGTAGGTATGCTAAGATTATCAAGATCTCTTTCCCATAACTTTTCAAAAGCTGATTCTCTTACAGTACCAGGAATTTCAAGAGATCTTTTTGTAAAATATTTTACATTTGGTGGAGGAGTTGGAGGATTATCTGTTAGTAATTTAGCTGATCGTTCCATTGTAGTTACGAAACAAGTTCTCACTTTGATGTCTTCAATTAGTTTTTCTGTACATTCTTCTTCTGTTAAAATTTCTTGCATAGCTTTCATTATTGTTCTGTAATTGATAAGATTAACATTTTTTAAATTATAAATACAAGTTGAAACCATATTACGGATCTATCTATTTACTTGTGGACTGCTTTTGCCCCTAAAGGAAGAGCTTGCCATGCTTTCAAAATAGGTACACCCTCGTATATAGGAATGACACTTGCTTCTTCGTAGCCAACATCTAATACCAATACTGTTTGGCATGCTAAAGTACAAGTGGTTACCAGATGAGTTGGTAAAAACATAATTGCACCAACTTCAAAATGCCTAAATAATACTTTTGTTAAAATATTCCTGAATTCTGTGGTGACCAGTGGAGATTCAACATTAACTACTTTTATATCTTTTGCACTGATCATTATTCTCCTACAAATAAATTTCAGTTTGAAATAGTACGAAAATATTCAAGTATAAATATAGCATTATTTTTACTTGAAGAATATGCTGTGTAAAAATTCCACCAGCAACTCGTATAAATCATTTTGGTCCTTATAGCTAAAAATATTTCGAATTGTATCTGTATTAGGGCATTTGATTTCAGACCTCACAATTCCCCGTGGGGCAGCTTCGGAGACGAATCCAAACCTACAGAGAGACAGAATTCAAAATTTTATTTAAAGATCACATTTTACAACACTATGCATGCTTAATTATGATGGACTCTGTACTTGGTGTATGCATGTCCCACATCGATAACGAGTACTTGTTTCTCTGCAATATAGCGCGAGCCCTTATATTCTTTGAGCGCACTCATTATTTATCTTTTTGGTCGCTTCTTCCAATCAAAATTGTTTCAATTTAACTTGTTTTTCCATCATTCGTGGAGTAAACTGACGTATCAATGCCAACAATACTCAATGGCTTGATTTGGAACGTATTATTATGGGCGCTGCTCCCATATGACTTTTTGTCGTCAGCTATACGCGCCGCGCAGCTGATGACAACTGCGCCTTCTCCTCACCGAATCCGTAGCGGCAGCATGCCATTTGTTGTTGTGCGACTACATGAGTATCACAGTTGGGTTCGAGGTTAGCTTTGATTAAACGTTCGAAAACGATACAAATGCAATAAAATGAATTTTTCGAGATGTGTCAGTTTGTTGAAATTCGCGCAACGTCCTGTGCCAAATGCGAATGTCACACAGTCATATAGATTAAGATTTTTTTCTAAAAAAGTTCTGTTTACGTCGAATTCACCACAAGTTAAAGTTCAATCAAATCCCGATGAATTTTTACCCGAGGATTTGGATGATGGTTACGAAGAAGAAGTAGAAAAGGTTGAAAGACAAGTGAGAAAGAAATATGTCGTGCCTAAGAAAAATTTTAGAATTGACGATGATCCTAAGTATCAGCGAGATTCTATTTTCAACACCATTACAAGCTACGATGGTGTAGCCGGTAATGAAAAAAATCATTTCCAAGCTAGTCGTGAAAGAGAAGAAAGATTGTACAATATTCTTGAGTCTCAAAGAAATCAAACTCAAAGCAAAAATAGTTTGTCTACAGAAGAAACTTCTGAAAATGACATTAAAGTTACAGAATCAGAAGATTCAGGATTTCAAAGATCTAAAACACTTGAAACTGTTGATGGTAAAATCAGTTTTGATTTAGGGGTGGATGAATTTCACAAAGGAGAATTTTTGAAAGAATTTAAAATGTCATTACCCAAACCATTGGATGAGTGCCAGGAAGATTTATCATCTGTTGGCCTTAATCTAGCACCAACATTTAATTTTGCAGCGTATGCAGATCATTCAGAGTTGATACAACAGTATGTACATTTGGGTGTTGATTTACATAAAATGGAAAAAAATCAGGATCACATGAGAGCTTTACTTACTGTGGATTACAAAAAAGAATTACCAATGTATATACAGTTTTTACACGATTGTGGTGTACCAGCTGATGAATTGGGAGAGGTGATAACAAAAGCTCCTTTAATCTTAACTGAGGATTTAGATGATATGAAAGTAAGGATTAGATATTTAGTGGCTCATGATTTCAACAAAGACAGCATAGCACGAATTATTACCAAAAATCCAGGTTGGCTTTTGTGGGCGACCAAAAAAATTGATGAAAGACTGGGACATTTTCAAAATGAATTCAAACTAGCTAGTGCAGAAGTAAGATATTTGGCAACAAAAGCACCAAAATTAATTACTTTTAATTTCAAACATATTCATGAAAATACATTCGCTGTGAGAGAACAAATGGGTTTCAATAAAGCAGAACAAAAAGTTCTTTTACTTGTGAAGCCTCAATTATGGACACTATGTAAGCATATCATGATTAATTAATTACAAAATTTTAAAAATTAATACATCAATTCTTCTGTTCACAGCTCGAAAAAAAATTATGGATTCATTTCATTATCTTCATAATACTATGAAGTTATCACACACAATGATGGCAACACAATCAGATGTACTCATCACAAGAAAAGTTCGTTTGCAAAATCGACATGAATTTTTGGTAGAGTTAAAGAAAGCTCAGTACGATCCAAAATCGCAAGGGTACGTTGCTCCAAGAAGAGTTGCTGTTGGTTCAGATGCAGAGTTTTGCTCTGAAGTCGCAAAAGTATCTATAGACACATATAATTTGTTTTTAAAAACACGTTGAATATTGTATAATCTTTATTATGTGTATAAATAGACTTTATTGTACAGTTTTTGAAAAAACATGACTTTTTCTTTATAAAATTCTCATTTTCGACTTTATACAATTGACTCATACAAATCATACACACGTCTCTTTGATAAATAATTCTAGTTCATCAGTCTAAAAAGTTTCTGACAATACTTGTGCAAATTTGTTTAAAAGCAAAAACTTTTCGGAAGACTGATAATTAAATATCGTCGTTCAACCAACATATCAACAACAAATAATTAATATAACAGAAAAAATAAGCGCAAGAGATTCTCGTTTAAAGGAAAGCACAATCGATTGTTGCAGCAATCAGCTGCCTTGACAAATTAAATATTATCACGCAATGGTGAACGTAAAAAAACACGAAAACTGATAAATGCTTTATATGTGTTATCAAAGAAAATTGAGATTGTCTTTAGCTAATTTTGCCTAATTCGATTTTCTTCTGAATGGCCTTGACCGAGGCGTAGACAAGACCATCGAGAATGCTAGCCACGGAGAAGATGCCCCCCATAATGGCGCAGGCATTGGTCAAAAAGTGGCCGAACGGCTTCGAGGTCTGAGTGTACTTGACCATCAACGGGCTCATCTCGTAGGAGAAGAATATGCCGGGCATGCCGCCCTCGCCGATTCCGCCCGACACGTCGCGATCGAGCTTCGTCATGGAGAACTGATTCGTGTGTAGCACTGATCCATCCAGCTTCACGTACGTCGTTGGAACTATTTTGATAAAATGTTGGAACATCATCGCTCCTAGAAATAAAAATGAAGAATTGAATTTATCGTATATATATAGGGGAGGTATATATGTGAAATCTTCTAAAAACGGAGTGCCACCGCCGAAGTTTCAAAAGTTGCCGCTGTTTCGTCGGCGTTTGCGCGCGAGCGGACGACTTCAGTGGACTTTTGGACATTCGGCTAAGCAAATACATGACATGGCGTCGTAAGGAATTCTTGTAATCAGCATACAGCAGGAGAGCAGTATTATAGGTTTACATGCAATACACAGCGAGATCGAGCGGAAAGTCACGTTGTCTGCGACGTTGTATTGTGCAGAGTTGCGAGAATTAATAGACTATTCGCGCTACCCCCCGCAGACGGCTTCTGAAATTTTAACTTTCGAGGAAACTTTTGACAAGCAATAAATAGAAAAAGTGAGATTATCGCAACTGTTGTGAACGATTATTTTAATGTTTTTTTTCAAAACTTCTCGACTCGAGAAATAATCACGAAACTTTAGGTTATAAAGATGAATAATTCATTGTTGTTGTATTGATGGTTTAGGTAATCATGCCAGTCGTACCCGGTGGCGCTTATCAACAGGGACCTACGTGCTTTGAACGCATGAAATTGGGCTTTACGATTGGTTTTTGCGTTGGCATGGCCTCTGGGGCTCTTTTTGGAGGTTTTACAGCTCTAAGGTGCGTTTTTGGGTTTTTTTTCAGAGAAAATTCGTAATCGTAATAAAGAATTTCGAAGTTAAAATTTTTATCTTATCTTTGGCCTTGTGGGCAATTCAAATGAAAAATGATTGTTTTTTTACATTACACTTTTTAAAAGCTAGTATTAAAACTGCTCTATTATTTCAGGCATGGCTTAAGGGGGCGAGAATTGGTAAACAATGTAGGAAAAGTCATGGTGCAAGGTGGAGGAACTTTTGGAACTTTTATGGCTATCGGAACTGGAATTCGATGCTAATGAATAGAAGATTTATTGTACATAAAAACCTCACTTAGACTGCCTTCATTGTAAAGTTCAGCATTTCTTAAAATAAAGTTACATGTAAGAAAAAAAATTGTTTAACTTACCCGAGCTAATGACTTGTGTGTTATCTATAGGATTTGTAACTCCTGGAATATTTGTACCAAAACTCAAGTGACGGATTTTATACGACAAATTAAAAGCAGATGAAGAATATGGTTGAACATCATGTACTGAAATAATAATCATTTTCTACAATAGTAATTTTTGATAAACTTACTAATATTTTAATGATTCACAAATTACCATGAACATGATTGATAGAAAAACTTTGTCCTGGAGCTATATGAAAACTACCTCCTACGCGATTGACTTCCATGTAACCATAAATTTGACAGCTCTCCTTGAATGCATGCTTTAGTCTCTCTATTGATGCATCATTTTTACACTGTACGAACATGGACGGATCTTGTATGGCCCATTTTCTTATTCTATAAGCCTCTTTAACTTCTGCACATGTATTGCAACATCTAGAAAGCATTTCAAAAATAATTATATAATCCATTGTCATATTTAAGTAATACTTTATCATAAGTACGTTATGCCAAATTCTTCACCAGCTGCACCATAGCAATCACCACATTTTGGAGTTGTTGAGTTATCTGCTGGATCAATCTAAGTAACAAAACCAGTTGTATTATTTTACTGTAAATCTAGTAATTATTAACATTTGTACCTTTTCTGTAGATTTCTTAATTTCTGCCAAATCTAAAAGATATTGATTTAGCGTTAATAGTGTCTTTCATATTAAATTAACATGTGAGTATTTTAATCACCTGTCTTTTTTGGATTTTCTATAGGTTGTCCTTTTAAATCCAAACGTCTTTTATAAATATTATGATCTATATGTAAATGCTGTTCCCCTGTCGTATCCATAGCATCTAAAGATAGCACTGTACAAAAATTGATTAATGAAAAACTTTGCTCCATATGTAACAATGAAAACTAAAATAGTCTCAAGTACATACAATCACATGCTACACTAGAAACCACAATGTCCAGGTTGATTCTAAGTTTAGATCCTCTTGACGTGTCAACAAACAACTCTTCCTTCAGCTCCGGGGTCACATAATCAATTGCCTCAGAAATGAAAAGTAAGGTAATAACGATTGCACTGAGTATTGTCACTGTAAAATCAAAACACAAACATCAATATGTAATGCAAGTGTCTACCTGTCAGAACTACTGTATGAAAACAAAAGCATGAAGGTTAATCCTGACAGATCTGGCGAGCCGCAGGACAAATCAAGCAAGCTAATAATGAATGAGATAAAAATGAATGACCAACCGATGGCACCGCCGATGGTTTTAATGCGAAAATCCTCGAGAGTCTTGGGATAGGCGTCAAATTGACGCAGCCGTTCCGGGATGTTGGCCATGGTGCCGGTATGCGACTATCTTCTTCCTCTACAAGGCGCACATTCGCCGGCGTGCTCTTCGTCGTTGAAAAAAAATAAACTAATTAATAAAAAAGAAAATCGACCTATAGAAAAGCTTCTGCCGGCAAGCTTTCGCAGGACGATGACTTCTTTTTTATAACGCGTGGCAAGCAGGTGTGAACAACAACCGAGTGCATGTATGCGTTATACGTAGATGAAACTTGATTGCTGATCGCGCTCCTCGGGGTCATATAACTATACACATACTACGTAGCAGACTGCAAACGAACGCCCGCTGTATTATGTGTGCAATGTAAAGTACACAACAACAGGAGTCTCAACTCTCAATCTGAGGCAAGGCCTGCGCGAGTAGAGCAACAAGAGAGGCGGGATAGGGACTCCGATAAAGGTTGCAGCTGCTACTGTGCGGCAATGCGTGTGTGTGCATGTTTACACGTCGACTTGTTGGCGGGGCGCTCGGTTCATAATATACGAAAGAGCAGCAAGTTCGTGCGGACTGCAGATTTTAACGAGCGGCTTACAAGCGCAACGAGGATGTGACGGACAGATTGTTTATCACTTGAATCGCTTCTCCTCCTACTCTTTTCTCTTTTCGAGGCACGATGCAGTCGTGACTGATTATGTTCGTTCGTTTATAACTCGGGAGTCTCTGACTTTGACGTCGGGTATACATTACGTTCAGGCAAGTAGGTAATGTAAAACCATTGCTCATTTCAAATTTTCAATCACTTGCTTTTTTTTTCATAAAGACTAATCGTCGCTTAATTTACTCGAGTATTGTTTGAAATGAATGAACAGATAATTGGGAACAGTTGAATAAATCAAAATAACGATTAACGAAGATATTATAAATTTTATTTTTTTTCATCTTACTGCCTGAATATACAATCTAGTTTCGTTACTTTTTGTATAATGTAAGTAGTTGTGTAAATTAGTTTGTGTACATTCTGTACTAATTTTATCATATGAATCCTTGTGCTTTTTAAAAATGTTCTCATCTTCAAAGATGAGCGAAAAATTGTTAAAAAATATATATTTACATGCGTGCCTGTGCATTTATTTTTCTCGTGTTATACACTCAATGAATTGATCTACTACAAATCCTGGTCATCTCTATACTAAGTATAAATGACAAAGTGAAATTTCCAATTTCCTATTAAAATTCACGACAAAAAATAACACCCACTCTTATCTAATAGGCTTTTAGATGGTAGGCTCAATTGTGCTGGTACAAATTGGATATTTATATAAATAGTGTACAAACAAGATCGTTAATCTTTTACCTATACAAGCTTTGTCTAAAACAATACAGTATTAATACATTCGCAAGAGTGAAATGTCACCTGAGCTTTTACATTTCTCTATCCTAAAATTACAATACTAATAATATTATAATAATAAATATCGGCAAACTTAATTCCTACAATCAATGGACGGCGCTCTGATACAAACAGATAAAATAAAACTCTGTTTATCAATACAATTTTTGTTTGCCTCTCGATTTATTAGCTAAAATGACAATCGAAATAAAAAAAGCTTATTTCGAAAAAATTGTCAACTGCTTGTGCGTGGTTATTTAGTTGTCTTTTCTTTTATCTTTCGATTGTGCAAACTTCGATTTATATAATAAAATTTTACGGCAAACATCGCTTTCGATAAAGTGCTACGTCGTTTACGTTAGGTACTTCAAAATTTTCAAAGTGCACTATCAACGACTAACATGCAAATTTCTGTTTGTAATATATATTAAAATTATAAATATCGATAATCGGTGAACATTTTCGAGTCGCGTCTAATAAATCCAATTGACCGGTACCCATTGATGCTCGCTGGCAAGTGCGTCGAGAGCTGCCACAATTTGGCGGAAGGTATCATCAAAGTCCTCGTTAACAATGATAAGGTCAATGTGCTTTTCGTAGGCACGTTGTAAAGCCGCCGATTCTTCTACCGTTGATCGTAAATCGTCCTCCTGTAAATATTTGGATTCATTGATCAATACGCAGTTTTCTTTCGAAACAATTATTCATTAGTGTTGGCATGAAAATGTTCTTATTAGAAACGTGCACTGTATTAGAAACAATCATGCATGGTACGAACCTCGTAAAGTGATGCCAATGATTCCAATGTTCTTGCACGTCTTGAACTATACCTGATACTGCTCTGGCGATCAAACTAAGAAAACGAAAAAAGAAGAAAAAACACCACAAGGCGAAATATTAAAATTAAAATAAATTAACCAAAATTTCAAATTACTTAAATCAAATTAACAGATATGATTATTTCTCATTCAAATATTGTCACTACAAGTCAGTTAATTACAAAATAAACAACAGGTAAAACAAGGCGAGCAACACTTGGATCTTATCGTAAATTCAAGACCATAAGAGAAAGAATATTATTCGGCGACGCATCCGCAAAAACATTAAAACCGTTAAGATCTCTGAACTCTCGCAGATTATAATCCTGTATGGACGTCAATCCCGAGCGTTCAGCAGCCCGTTTCGAGGCAACCGTTGTAAAAGTCCCCTGAACGATATCGAAATCATTACGAAGGGCCCAATCAACGCTCTCTTTCATCAACAAATTACAAAGCCCTCGTTGCCGGTACTCGGCGTGCACCGCGAGAAATCGTATGCGCGCCATCCTCTTGCAGTCCGGAAACAGCTCGAATATTCTGGAGGTTTTGTTCATTAACTCCGAGTAATGCACCAGATCGTTGACCAATTTTGATGAGAAGCTGTTATCTTTCGCGCGAGGATCGGCTAGTCCATCCTGATCTCTCTCGTAAATTACGAGCATGACGGCCCCGGCTATTCTCTCACTTTTCTTCTCGACGATAATCAGACAAACGTCTTTCGACAGCAAATCTTCGATGATTTTCTTTTTATCCAACATAGCGAGTACGAGGTCTTCTTGGCTAATTTTATTATTTTCATTTGCCATATAACTTCTGGCAACGATGTCCTCGTGAATGTAATGGTTTTCCAATAAACTTATTATTTCGGTGAATCTTTCCGGGCCAGCGATTCTGGCGCAGTAGTCACTCGTATCCGACTCGATTTTCTGCGACATTGTCTCGTCGTGCATGCGAACTAAACGCGAGAGCGATTGACTCGCGACTGACTTTATCTTTCAACTGCACTGTGAGATGTAGAGCAACGACCGAAGCAGCGACAATTGCACAATGGCTGTAACAACGTCATCGTCGACACGCTCGAAGTACTTGAAATTATTTTGATCACCTTGTTTTACACTTTAGTACGTCACATTCGTTTAGAATTTCAATGAAGTTGTAATCTATCATTCAACTGATTCAATATTTTCTAAGTCAACTAAATTATATCAACGTTTTGGCTCTAGATTCCGATTTTTCATTAAAATATTATTTCACAGCTTTAATTTTGAAGCATTCTATTTCAGGCAGCGTATTATTTTATTAAATTAGGTTGATGACTCGTAAGCTAATAGTAATTAGATAACATTTTAATGTTTCGTGATCTAGTTCTCGAATACAAACTTCTGGAGCCAGAACGTTAGTACATAATCACTATTTTTATATCAACAAGGATATGTATCAACTATAATTAAACGAAATTCCATTGGAAAGTAAATTATTATTTTTTATCATGCGTAAAAATGATTTTATCACAGGGTCAACTATACGCACGATGCATCTCAATACAAATATTAAAGAGAAAAAAAGAGACATAGAGAAAATGTTACCGTCAAATTCCTATTGCTCGCCCCGGTCGACCTGCCAAGATCGTAGAGCGACTTGAGCTGCTGCATACCGGGCGCGGCGATGAATATAACGTAGGGCATGAACTCGGTGCTGTTTCGGAGAATCTTGAGGGCCGGGGGGCTGCAGTCGAGCACGCACATCTTGCCGGCGCGTATTACCTCGCGCACCGAGTCGAGCTTCGTGCCGTAGAGATTTCCGCCGTGCTCGCCGAACTCGAGATAGCGATGTTCGCGTATGTCCTGCTCCATGGAGTCGCGATCGGTGAACCAGTAACCCTTGCCGTTCTCCTCCAGTACGCGTGGCGGTCGCGAAGTGTCTAATGTCGACGAAGAGAGAAAATAGTTAAGTAATGAACAATATTGAATATCACGAGTACACTCGTAGAGCAAATATCTTACAAGGCACGATCGTCCCGAATTTCTCGGGATCGCTGTTGATGAGGCGGTTCTTGAGGGTCCTACGGCCGACGCTGCGCGGCCCTACGAGCGCCAGGGTCTTGCGCCTGAACGGTGGCATGCGCGTGACCTCCTCGTACAGCAGCAGCTCGGCGTCGTCGAACTCGTTGTTGCTCTTCGACTGGTACATCTTTCGCTTCTTCTTCATGGAGGTGCGCTTGCCGCAGATGCCGATCTTGTGCACGAAGTCGGCCTCGCGCGGCACGAAGGCCTTGCGGCGCTCCTCGAGCTCGAGCGACGGTATCAGGCCGGGCGGGCCGAGGGTCTCGCCCTCGATGCGCCGCGCCTGCCACCAATTGGGATCGGTCTGGTCGACGATCTGTATGATGTCGCCCTTGGAAAATGCCAAGCCAATTTCACGACACGGTAGCAAGGTATCCTCCGTTGGATCGTAGTCGAAGAGTGCGCGCATGTAGCACTAGATGACGAGAGAGAGAGAGATAAAGGGTATTTTGTTAGTGACACGTGTTAATTTTTATATAATAAAAAAACATACAAAAGAAATGGTATGATAATTTTAAATCTACATCAGTGAGATGATTTGGCAAAGCAAATAATATTAAACAAAAAGTAGAGAATATATATGTGAAATTCTTGAACTGTGCCGAATAATGTACCTTGCATTCTGTTTCCTTTAACCGGCCCAGTAGCGAATCGTAAGCAAGTCAAGAAAGTCAATAAAGATCAGTCAGATAACAATTGTAGTTAATAAGAATCGCGGAATATCGAGACACACGTGGCATACAAATCTATTCTCGATTATCCTCGTTCTCAGCGACAGAGTTTTTCAGTTTTAAGCATCATTAAAATTCTGCATCTCATAGGATTAAAAAATAAAACTCACGGTAGATTTGATGGGCGACGAGCCATCGGACGCGATGCCAGGCGCGAGTTTCAGCGAGAGATTCTCCTTGGCTTGGGCGATGGCCTGCTGCAGCTCGTCCGGATCGTGGACAGGCTTGCCGTTGACCTCGAGTATGACCTCGCCAGGTCTGAGCAGGCCCTGTCGCGCGGCCGTGCTGCCGCCCAAAATTCGGGCTATTATCATGTTGCCATTCTCGTCCACTTGAATCGTCAGGCCCTACACACGGTCGAGGTATTATATCTTTTTCGATAAAAATGTACCTCTGATCGAGCTTGTCCGAGATTGTACGATACATACCAAAGGCTGATCGGGATGCCTGTTGAGCCCGACGACTCTGACGGCCTGGGCTGCCTCGGTGCTCGGCATGGCCAGCAGCAGTGGTCGCTCGTCGTCCGCCTCGACGGGCTTGCGCAGCGCCCGGCTAGCCACCACTTGATCGTGCACGTCGAGCAGAGCTCGCAGGTGTCGGCCGCGCAAAAGCAGCAGAAGCTCCCGAGATTCGGGGCTCCAGGCAGGCTCCAATTGCCGATTGACCTCGCACACGGTCTCGACGATCGACGAGCAGACGGGCTCGGCGTGTCGAGGCGGTTCTTCCTTTCGTTCTTCCGGCTAAAGAAAACATAGGAAGAATATCCGAGACGTTACAGATGTAGCTCAATTTTTCGATTATTTTTTTGTAATTTCGCGAGAGAAATTGAGAATGTTGAATAAAACATCGTAATTTTTCCAACAAAGTGGAAATTAGTGGAATAATTGAGATTCTCCTGTTGTAAGTTGTTATGTGCAAACGTTACATTTATATGCCGAGTCGTCTCATGAAAGCCTAATGAGGATCCCCACTCATTAAAGCAGTCAGTCAATTGACGAGGAAAGACATACCGAACAATTATGAAATTACGTTTCGAGGTCATTGATCAAGTTTCTTCTACAGTATGTGTATAAATACGCGCGTGGTTAAATAGAAATTCGCTCTATAAAGTGGATGATGCTTCTTCTTTTAATTTTTTTTCTATTTCAGAAATCGCAAAGACGCACGTGAGAATAAATCCGTCACAATGAAGCATTATTCGACAGGTACATAATAAGTACGATTTCCACGCCCGATTTCGCACGCGCACCTTTTTTTTGACGGGTAACCGCCAAAACAAGCACCTGCTACTTTTGATCGCAAAAAGAGAAAGCGTACATAGTGGTATCCGGAGTCAATTCGTCGCGTAGATAATTTTTTTACGAAAAAAAATAAAATCACAATCCGTGAATTTCGTCGAGTTCATTGGCACTAGAGTCGTTTAACAATGACTTATTTATAAAAATAAGCGTAAAGGTAAAATTTATGTGACATTTTTTGTCAACAAAATTTTTGTCGCTCGATGCGCTCGATGTAAAATGAAAATAACGCGTTTGGATGAAAATATGTTTCAACGAGCAGAAACTATAATAATCGAGCGTGCGATGGCCTGTGCTAGCGCAAAATATAGACCTCGCTGTTTACGCTGATCTCACTTTTGCACTTTCGTAAACGTGAGGCTCTTTCGAGTCGCGCTCGTGTGTGTATAATATTCGCTGGCAAAAAATTGACTCTTGCCGCCGTGGACGCTGAGAGTATGTGTGAGATGAGACACGAGCGAAAGGAAGAAGGAGATGTAGACTCAAGATATCCCGTGTACGTGTGTGCCAATGTGTATGTGTTATTTTTCTCTCGCGTTCGCGTAATACGTGAAAAAATGTTTGTACACCTATCTCCGTGTGATACGCAACGGTTGGCAAGTCCACGTACGGATACGTACGTCAGTTACATATAATTCTCACAAATTACACAAAAAATCGGAGTCCGTATTTTCGAGCTCTCGTATTATAATAGCTATAATCGAGGCGTCGATGGTCGATTCACAAACAATTGCCTTCGCGCATGTATCCCAGTGCACATGACACACATACGGCGAGGATAGGCTGCTGCGCAACTGTATATAATATGTGAGCATACACATGTGTGTGCGTCATGCGTATTATGCATCCACACACATGTGTAGCACGCATATTTTAGGTATATGCGCGCGAAACGCTGCTGCTGACCGCACCCGCATCTCCGCGCTCACTCTCGCTCTGTATACCAACACACCACGAGAGCCGCCGATGCACTCACAGAATCACAATTATAACAGACGGCACAGTTTAGGCCCGAATCGATCGAAAATCTTACGAGGGAAAAAAAACAAATGGTTGTCGCACCTCGCTCTAAATTTTCGCACAAGTCTCACCTGCGTATCGCGGTTATAAAGGAGTCGTTGGGATATAACGCAGGACTCGCTGACTCGCGTGGCTACACAACCCACTACTACTATATGCACGTACAATCGGATGTCATATACACACTCACAGAGGCCTGCTTTATAACGTATATAGCGCTATTATCGATCGGTATGCGTAGTAGCGTGGACGGTACACCGTGTCTCACGCACGCTACGTTATTTTATACGGTACATACACGCGTGCTCGCACCGAAAAATTGTTTGCCGTATCAACCGGATTATTTTTATTTGACTCTTTTACCAAAAGTCGCGTAGGCTTATGGCTGGCCGCAGGATCGCGCGTCGTCGTCGTCGACTCTCTGTCTCGGCCTATCGTACAGACTAACCGCGCCTATAGTCTTTTCAGGCGAACGGGCCTTTGGACGACGACGACGACGCCGCTGTGCATGCCACCGTCGAGACAGAGACCCACACACAGGCGCGCACAGCACACGTACGCGCGCTGATACAGCACGAACAGGTGGGGGCCCTCCTTTTCACCTCACCGCCTCCTCCACCTTTTTTGCGCGATCAAGGAGTGTGCGAGAGAGACGGAGAGAAAGAGTCACGATTCGCGCGCACACTCATACACCTTTGCGTTACAAGAGTGTATATAGTACAGTAGTATAGTAGACGCGGTTCGCGGCATGACGGTGCGCAACAGGGCCGGCAAAGTCGCCGCTCATTGTGTGCCACGGGGTGACTTCGCGCTCGAGTCACGGCACTGCGTTCTCTGCGTTATATATACCTATATAATAAAGGCTGAGTACCATATAGTGATACGGCACAATATACATGTATTGTTCTCGCGTACTATGTAGAGACGCGGGAAACTTTGATATAATGCATTGCATTAAAGCTCGGCTGCTTAACATGCAACGCTGCGTGTCGTGTGCCGTGCGATCGTTGTTACGTCGTTGCGAACTGAAATCGGTGCGATTCGAAATTTCAGAATTTGCCGCAGTCGCATATATAATTGCCGTATATGCATACATCCCCTCGGTCTGTTTCTCGAGTCGAGTCGTGCACATCGAGCAAAGGGATTTCAACGATTTAACTCACAAGTACATGAGCGCGCTTTCTAATAAGCTTTATACGTACGAAATACCGGCTTGGGTTATTGTTACTGCTACTGCTGGGAACTTTTGCGTCGTATTACATCGTGCAGCAGCAGCTCGGCTCCCAAGTTCCCAAAACGCGACTTCAGAATCGGAAATGAAATTGTTATAGATCGAGTTGACCCCCGACCTTAATTACTTGAATCCGCATAGGCCACCCCCCACCCACCAGCCTCGCGACAATGATTTAACGTTTGCTTACTGCAATTTATGGTATAAAACTTTGTAAATAACGGAGTCTACGTGCCAACTTGTACACTCTCATTTACGCCACTGCAAGAGATGATTGAGCGCGTGAGATGCGAGCTTGTACATACATTCTGATAAAATTTCGACCGGCCACGTCGAAAGTTTTGCTTGATTTTGAACTTCTTAAAATGACTCACGCGCACGCACTCTCGGCAGTCGAAAAGAGATCAAAGTTGAAAATTAATAAAGACAACACACGGCTATAAACAAGCAGAAAGTATAAAAAGATTTACGTGCAATGATTTTCCGTACTTCTTATATATTTTAAAGTAACAAAGTGCATATAAACGGCACACGCGGACTCGAGGCTCTCTTCCGTGTATACTTGGAAGCGTAAAAATACAATTTCCAAAGAGATGAGCGCAGCGGCTCTCAGTGTAGCAGCTAATGCTTTCGGAACGCGGAGCTAAAGTATCGTACAGATGCAGTGTGTAGCTTGCATAAGTGCCGTACGAAGCAATAATAAAAACAACAAAGCGAAAGTGTGATGTAATTGATGATGATGAGGTCAACGCGTTGCAGCTATAAATTCTGAAAAATTCACGTGGCTCGATATTTTACGCTTTCTTCATTGATAAAATGCCGTGTTTTCTTTTCTCTCGCGCGAGCTTGTAGTACCGACAGCAAGCATTTATACCACATAAATTCGAGCATTGTTTACCAAGTCTCGGTGATGTTCAAGAGCCATCGATCTATCTATGCCCAGCATTATGTACAGTAGAATCCTGCGATCGATCCCCCACGAAATTAGATATACCCAGTCTAATTTACTTATTCGGCTTTTGTACTTTGGCACAAGCCGGTCGAAAGGGCCACTCAATGCAGCGGCCCATGCACGAATCTGAATTCGGCTCTATACGTGGGTGCATCCTTTATATAACGTATATAACTACTCTTGTGCCTAAAACAAGCACTGGTGATTAGTTTGGTCAGCGACTTAGCGTCGCTTTCGTATACGTTCTATATAATGCATAATTGTCATTGTGATCGCTGTCCATTTGCAGCACTTTGAGTCTTTGCAGGCGTGTACCCTCGGATCGTTTTCTAACTGCCACTAATTTTCTTCTCTTCGTTATCCTCTCTCCCTGTGTTTGAACTAATTCATCGGTGATTTCGATCTCGACGTGAAAAATCCTACGGAGCGTGGGCGCAATCGGTGCACTGCGATTTTAGGCGACTGCAGCGGCATTCGGTTTGTGGTATATACAGTCCAACTTCGATTCGAAATTCCGAGCCACACCACCTATATGTATATGTATGTATGTAATACATGTAGGTGAATGCTGTACCGGTTGATGCACCCGAATTAATATGCACACACAGAGAAGAACGAGGGAAAGGGGGTGGTTGCGTCCGAGTTCAAAGTGCGGTTTCTGCTAGGGACACGCAGAGCGACAGCCTCTCTCTCTCTCTCTCTCTCTCTCTCTCTCTCTCTCTCTCTTTGTTAGAGGGAAGGGAGGGCAACGACGCGCAACACTCAACCGCATTTAGTGGAAGCTTCATGCGTGCAACGTGCTTTGACGCGAATTTCAACTTCTGATCCCTCTTCCATCTTGTATTCGCTTGATTACGCTCAAGAATAACGAATAAAATGTTTAGATCAATTATGAATAATGTATATCGAACAAATACGTTTACAAATAGTAATCGAAATTATCGAAAGTACACAATTACGCGTCTAGATGGATTTTCAATTTGAGATTAGTCAAAATCAACTTCTAATCGTTCTCATATTTTTTATGAATTATCTGGGTATATGATATTCAATGTAGGCGATGCAGAATGTTTTGTGCCATCTACAGATCAATTTATAAAAAGTAATGGCTGGTAACATTTTGAGAAAAAAGTTGATCATTGACTTCCCGCAAGCGCCGGAAAATTCATCTCCATTCGTTTATATAAACAATCGTTCCATCAACATTTCGGGATAGCGGGTCGTTCCTTCAATTCAGGG